CTATCTATCTATCTATCTATCTATCTATCTATCTATCTATCTATCTAGTTTTGCTCTTAGTTCTAGGACAAGGTGGCACAGCGGCTGCGAGCTGCTGGGACTTTGGGACCCAGTCAATATTCAAATATTCGGGAATTTTTTTGGGTCTCTGGTGCATATACTCTGCGGCTTCCTACGTTTTTGGTTTTTGTTTGTTTGGCTTTGTTTTTTGAAACAGGGTGTCTCTGTGTATTTCTGACTATCCTAGAACTTGCTCAGATCAGGCTGGCCTCGAACTCAGAGATCTGCTTACCTCTGACTACCGGTGTGAGCTACCACCGCAGTGGGAGAAGGGCGGTGAACTCAGGGCCTAGAGGTGCTAAGTGGGCGGGCCTTCCACCCCGAGCCACGCCCCCACCCCTCACTAGGGTATCCTAGGCTGTCACCTCCCTGGCCACACCCCAGCTCCTCACTGGAGGCTTCTAGCCTGTCACTCTACTCTCCCCCTGGCCACGCCCCAGCCCCTCACTGGGTTATCCTAGGCTGTCACTGTGCCCCCTTAGGCCCCCCTCTCCTGCTGACACTGGTGACAGGATGTCTGCTGGGTACTGTTTCCATTTCCCCGGGCAGCGGGCAGCAGCCGCGCTGGACAGGCGATGCCAGTCTTCTCGCTGGTGTCTGCTGAGTGAGAACAGGACGTTGACACTGATCTAGGCTCCAGACTCCTGGGGTCACTGAATGGGATGGGGGATCTTGCAGAACTGGGGCCCCACAGTCACACCAAGCAACTTCCTGAGTGGAGAGGAAGCTGCTCATGTTGCTTCCTGGTACAAACAGCCCCGGGCAGGACTGACTGGTTTGATAGTGAGGGGCAGGGCAGAACCCCACCCCTCCCAATCCTGTAGGACAGTGTGGCCTTGACTCATTATCCGACTGACGCGCCTTGGTGGCGGTCAGGGTGCCCAGGCCAGCAGCCCCCGTTTGTAAATGTAGTTTTTATTCCCTCAGATGAGGGGATGAACAAGAGTCATACCCAAGCTTTACAAATACATGGCTGGGGCTGAAGCCAGAACATTTCTAACTATCCGTGTGCCTGGGCCTGGAAGCTTCGAGCCTCCCTTCAATCTTCTGCAAGCCCGGACCTAAAGGCTTCAGCTTCCAGTCTGTCTGCTAATTAAGGCCTAGAATGTTTTCAGCCTCCAAGACTTCTGTTGTAGAAAACAAATATGGCTAATAATGTTTGTTATTAATAGCCTAGTTATTGTGACGGTGTTATTCTTTAACCCGATAACAAATCCATAAAATACACAGACACCTGTGGCCAAAGTGCCAGCTTGGAAAGGAGAAGGCGTAAAAAGGTCACAGACAGGTGGAGGAAAAAGGAGAAAGCAGAGTTGCCGTGGGGTAGGAAGTAGGAACCAGTGGGTGGAGGAAGGAACTGAGGATAGAAAGTATGTTGCAAGTATTTATGGGGATATTGGATGGGAAGCAACCCAGACAGGAATGATTAAAGCAAATGGCGTGGGATGTGGAGTTGACAGGTGGCAAGGTGACATAGGGGTAAAGTCTGCCCAGCCCCAGGTGAAATAAGGATTATTTAAATACAGCAGGTGTCTGTCTTTTATTGATATGGTATCGGGTTAATAATAACCGCTATAATAATTATAGGCATTTAATGATAAACATTATTAGCAATTTATATATTCTGCAACAGACTTACTGCTGGATAAGCTCACCCTTCCTAGTTTTTTCTGAACTCTGGCTGGTTCAACTCGGCTGTTGTGGTTCAAAGCTGACTGATTCAATCTGGCTTCTCTCTGAATTCCTCTACTTGGAAGAACTGCCTCTGACTTCCATGGACTGAACTGCAGGAACAACACTGAACTGTACTGTGTCCATGAACTCACGCTGCGCTGCTCTTAAGTAGCTTCTCTTTCCTGTCTGTCCTCATGAGAGCTGGGCATATCGTGTGGCTGACTCATTATACCAAATCTTTCTCTGATTCCTCATTTTGTCTGCCCCTCAATTAGATGTCATTATTTGGGATTAAATGTATATACTAAGGGTGTGTCTGTATTCCAGCTGGATCACACAGACCTGGGAGTTTGGATGTGATCCCTTTCCAGAGTAGCCATGTTGGGGATGACAATCACAGGCAATGCTCCACTCCACACACCCAAATTGTGTGCATATGGAAGTCACTCTTGTCTCCCAGGGAGAGGTCTAGCTTAAGTTAGCCTACATGTCAGTGAGGTCTAGCCCCAGGCAGCACGAGTCTCTTTCCCATCTCTGACTGAAGTGTTCAAACTTCAGGAAGTGTTCAAACCTGAGAGCCGACGTGTAGTCATCAATGAATGAATGAATGAATGAATGCCTTTCCAACCCACATCGAGGGGGCTGCTGGCTGTGCCTCCAGTCTCTCCACAGCCCGGGCAGAGAGTGCAGCTGACACAGTGTTTCCTATGTGAAGGGTTTTTAGAAATCAGTAACAGTCTGGGCTAAGGTCCTGCCAGAGAGCTCCATGGTACTTTTGGGTGGGATTTCTCTTGCTTAATTGGAGATCCAGAGAGGTCAAGCCATTCTGTCCTAGTAGACTACACAACAGAACCCATGACACAGAACCAAGAAGCCGTTTTGGCCCAGGCACTAGCCAAATGAGGCCTACAGTCTCAAGGACACTTGTCAACTGCCCACAGGTCCCAGGTGCTATTGGGGAGACCAAGGACAGCCTGCTCAGTGCGGATAGACTAAGGTAAGTGCTGCGGAGTGGGGGTGGTAGGTTCCCATCTCTACCAGCAACACCAAGGCACGTGGCCAGGGGGCCCGACACTGGGCTGCAGGGATGCAAGTGTGCTTCTGAGTCCTGCTACAAGTCTGATCTAGCACCGAACAACAATCTCCAGGACTAGACGACATTACAGACAGCAGAGCGCATGTGCAGAGGCGGAAAGGCCTAGGGAGCAGGTTGCAAGGACAGTGAGAGCTGAACTCTGAGGTCAGGAAGGAGTCCAGGCCTGGTGATAGCTAACTGCCATCCCAGCATCCCAAGTGTGGGGACAGGAGGATGGACAGCTCGGGTCCGTCCTCAGCTACGCAAACTAGTTGGAGGCCGGCCTGGGCTTCCTGAAAGCGAGGTCATTAGATCTGGGGTTCTGGCAGATCTGTAAGGGTTTACCACAAACATTGAGTTTTTTTCTGCCTCTGACTTGTGCCCTCAGTCATGCTGGGCGGGGCCGCAAAGGGGCCGGAAGTGCCAGGGGACAGGGGGTCAATGAGGAAAGTCTGGAAATTGGATCCTCAGAAATGGGTTTTGAGGGCGGAATAGAAGTTTCCTAGCGGGCCGAGATAACTTTCAGTCCCTGGGCTCGGGAGGCGGAGGCAGCGGGATCTCTCTGAGGTCCAGTCGTTTGAGGAGGAAGACTTGGGTTGGGTCGAGGCCGGTGGGACCCGCGTCTGGGTTCGGGTCCAGCGAGAGTCCCTGCGGCTCAGGGGGCCGGGAGGAGGCGACGGCGCCCACAGCTCCCGTGACCTTGCCTAGGCCCCACCCCGCCATGCGGCCCCGCCTGCGGCCGCCCTCCGACCTGGGCCTGGCGCTGGCGTCGGCCGCGCTGGCGCTGCTGCTGCTGCTCACGCTGCCGTCGCCGCCCGTCTGCCCCGCCCCCGAGGAGCCCGCGGAGCCCCCGGGCGCCCCCGCGGCGCCCCCTCCGCGCGCGCGCGCCGCCCCGTGCCCCGCCAACCTGACGGCGGCCGCGCACCCCGACTTCGCGGGGCTGCCCGCGCACGTGCGCGACTTCCTGCTCTACCGCCACTGCCGCGACTTCCCCGTGCTACGCGAGCCGCCCGCCGCCAAGTGCGCGCCGCCCGTCTTCCTGCTGCTCGCCATCAAGTCGTCGCCGCAGAACTACGGGCGCCGCCAGGTGCTGCGCGCCACGTGGGCGCGCGAGCGGGGGCCTCGGGGGGCGCCGCTGCGTCGCCTCTTCCTCGTGGGCTCCGACCGCGACCCGCAGCAGGCGCGCAAGCTCGGCCGGCTGCTGGAGCTGGAGGCGCGCGCGCACGGCGACATCCTGCAGTGGGACTTCCACGACTCCTTCTTCAACCTGACGCTCAAGCAGGTGGGCGCAGGGTCCCGCGGGGGGCGGCGGGGCGGGGCCAGGAGCCCGGGGGGCCGGGGAGCCAGCCCGGGAGGCCCGGGGAGCCAGCCCGCGCGTGCCCGCGCCCCTCAGGTCCTGTTCCTGGAGTGGCAGCGAGCCCGCTGCGCGGCCGCCAGCTTCGTGCTCGACGGCGACGACGACGTGTTCGCGCACACCGACAACATGGTCAGCTACCTGCAGGGCCGCGACCCCGACCGCCACCTCTTCGTGGGCCACCTGATCCGAAACGTGGGCCCCGTCCGGGCGCCCTGGAGCAAGTACTTCGTGCCCGCGCTGCTGGCGCCCGAGGAGCGCTACCCTCCCTACTGCGGCGGCGGCGGCATCCTGCTGTCGCGCGCCACGCTGGCTGCCCTGCGCCGCGCCGCGCGCACCGTGCCGCTCTTCCCCATCGACGACGTGTTCCTGGGCATGTGCCTGCAGCAGCAGGGGCTGGCGCCGGCCGCGCACGCCGGAGTGCGCACGGCGGGGGTGGCGGCCCCCGGCCGCCGCGGCAACTCCTTCGACCCCTGCTTCTACCGCGGCCTGCTGCTCGTGCACCGCTTCCTGCCCTTCGAGGTGCTGCTCATGTGGGACGCGCTGAGCCGGCCTCAGCTGGCCTGCGGCAGGCGGGCCCAGGCCTACTGGCCGCCGGGAGAGCCGGGCGCGGCCAGGCCGGGGGACGACCCGGCCGCCCGCTGAGCCCCCGAGGACGCTTGGCCCCTCGCTGCCGGCCGGGGCAGGCACTCCTCTGAGCGGCCGCTAAGAGGTGCTGCGGGCCGAGCGGATGGGTGTCAGCCTCCAGCCGCAGACCCGGCTGCAGCTTACAGCGGGAGGCGGAGGGCGCAATACAACCCCGGGCTCCGCCCTTTTCCTTTTACCGATTCAGCTTATTGTACGCCACGACTGTGGGCGGTGGGCAGAGGGGAGGGGAGCCGGTCCCGCTCTCCTCCGCGTGGCGCTTTGGGCTTGAACTCAGATCCTCAGGCTTGGTGGCAAGCACCTCTACTCCCTGGGCTCTCTCGCCAGCTGCTTTATGTTTTTTTTCAGCATCATTCACGTTTTAACCCCCCCCCCCCGACCTTTAAGATTTTATTAACTCACAAAATCAAGCGTCCTTGTGACGTCTTCACGCCTACAGCCATTCACGTTTAAGGTCCTTTTCCAAAGGTCCAGGTGGGCGGAGTGCGGTGAAGCTGGCCTCACTCCGGCTTCTCCCACCCCTCATAGCTCCCGCACCTCAGCCTGGGGGACATCTGGTCTCCCACCTCAGCACTGGTGACCCCACACTTACTGCCTTGTGTTTTCCTCCTTTAGAGAAAGGGTCTCATGTAGCCCAGGCTACATGAGTTCCCCCTATAGCCAGGGTGACTTTGAACTCCTGTCCCTTGCCTTCACCCCCCAGCCCGAGATGACACTGAGCACCACACCTGCTGTTTGCTGCTGGACCCCTCACAAGTTCCAGGCCCAGCCCAGCCCGGTTCTGTCTGCCGTGCTGTGTATCTTGCAGCTTCGGAAAGGGCTCCTGACACCCCTGGGCAACAGTGGGGGTGAAAGCTGCAGGGGGAGCAGGAGACAGGCGGTGTTGGTGCGCAGCCTGGGTGTGTGGGTGTATGTACTAGGTGAGGGGACGGGGCAGGTCACGGAGGGAGAGGGGCCTCACCGGAGAGCTTGGCAGCTGGGCAGAGGGCACTGCTTCCAACCCTGAGCTCTCTGTGGCTCCCTGTTGCCTGGATGGAGGCTCCCAGCCCACACGCTGTGGGGACCCTGACACACTCACAGCGTCCTGAGGCGGGGGCACAGACCATTCCAGAGCTTAGGGTCCAAGATTCCTGCGGAAGGGGCTCAGACCTGCCTGACTTCCAAGCAGCCTCAGTTTTTCCCCAGTGGATCCTGGTGGTGCTTTAGGTCCATGTGTGACCAGAGCAGAGGTTCCCCCCCCCATGTTGCTTTTCCCAGACAACAATGCGCAAAGTTGATTTATTTAGACTTTTGGGGACACAGGGAGGAGAAGGCACAGGCTCTGTTTCTGGGATCTACGAATAACTGGCACCCTTGGAGGCGACCCCAGGGGCGGGGGGAGGATGCGCTGCCCAGCCCCTGGCCCTCAGTGGGGACACAGGCCCAGCAGGTCTTGCTGGGTACAGCCAGTGAGACAGCAGGGGTGCATAGCCTTGGTGGCGGCGCTGCGGCGCTGGCGCTGAGGAGCCGGGTCAGGGAGGTCCAGCGTGGGCTCCACATCGGCCACAAGTGCATGCAGGAGCTGCCGCCGCTCCAGCCACTGCAGCATCTCCCCTGTGGGCGAGCAGAAGTCAGCCTGAGTCCTCCCCACACCCAATACACATTACATGCCCAAGAAGAAGGAACAGATGTATAGCGCCTGCTGAACGCTTCAGAGCATTCACCTCCCAACTTTGTCTGGCTTTCCACGGTCTCCTGTGCACCCCAGTTTCTGGCGGTGGAAGGCTGGGGTCCCCAGAATTACATGCTGTCCCCCTGGGCAGCACCCCAGCGTTAGGAGGGAGCCCCACAGGCGCCACCCGAGGTTGTGCACAGGGACCTCTGTCCTCTGCAGTTCCATGGGGCTGGAGGCAGAGACCCTGCCCAGACTCCCCCAGAAGGCCGTATTCCAACGATCCCAGCCCTGGTGAGGCAGGAGGATTCCTGTGACTTAAAGCCATTTTAGGCTGCAGAGTAACAGTCTGCCTTTAATAAACATTAAACCAGGTGGTGACTCAGGCCAGTCATCTAGGCACTCATGCCTAAGATATGGAAGTTCAAGGTTATCCCCGGCTGAATTGTGGGTCCAGTCTGGACTACGTGAGACCCCGTCCCAAAGATTCAAAAAGAGGAAAAAGTTAAAATGTGAAAGTCTTGTGAGGACTCCGGTTATCAGGAGATGGCCGCCCCCCCCTCTCGGCTATCCATCCGCCTGTCCACCGCCCCGCCTGTCCCCACTCACGGTCGCGGGCGTCCACGGGCTGCGTGGCCTCGGGGGACCAGCGCGGGCCGCCGCACACGCGCACCAGCGCGCGCACCAGGTGGTGGCCGCAGAGCTTGGCACTCGCCTCGGGGGGCCGCGGGGGGCGCAGCGCGGAGCCTAGCGCCGGGCGCAGCAGCAGCAGCAGCAGCAGCAGGGCGCGCATGGTGGCGGGAGGTGACGCGCGGAGACGCCCCTTATAGCCGCCTCGCGCCGCCTACGGGCCTTGGAGGGAACACGGCGAGCAGCCCCGGAAAGGTCGAGGCTCTGGTCACGGCCAGGGGCCGTGTGTCCACCTTGGGACCCTGAAGGCCCTCTCCCAGGGGAAGCACTGTGCCAGAAGACGCCCCCAACATTGAAAAGCAAGCCAGGCGCCCTCGCCTTGTAAGAGTGGAGCCCACTTGTCTTGCGGGCACTGGAAAAGCTGGGGCAGGAGAATTGCTGTGAGTTGGAAGTAGTTTAGGCTGTGAAAGGGATGTGGTCAAAGCAGGAAATTGAAGTTGGGAGAGGGAGAATAAAGCCCGTTCCTCGACCAGGGGGCTTTTTCCCCCCTTAAGGGCTCTTGTGGGTGACACGGGCACCGTTTGGGGTGCTCACGGCTGTCTTGGCCAGCTCCAGCCTTAGCCTCTGATTGCCCCTCCCCCGCCCCTGGCCCCTGCCTGGATCCAGCTCGCCTAGCGAGCCAAGGACCGCAGCTGGGCCGGAGGAAAGGGGGTGTCCTTGGGGTCTGGCCAAGGCCTCTACTGTGCCAGGTGTACCGCTTCCCGGCTCCACACCTGCCCCCCTAAGCCTGAACCACATCCCATAACTCAGCTCTCCTTCACCCCTACGCTAGTCATAAACCATCTTTTCTTTTTATTGAGGTCATTTATTCATTCAACAAACACCCCAGGGCCCAATCTGCAAAGAGGCCATGCTGAGGCCTCACAGCCCCCAGGAGCCCACGGGCAGCGGAGAACGGGACTGGACAGACGCTGGCCCAGACCTGGAGTCAGGAGTTCGGGGATGTGGCTGGATGCTGGCTGAGGCTGGATGGTGGTGTTGGGACCTGAGGTTGCCGGGGTCGTTGAGTTCTGCAGGACGTGCCGGGAAACACACCCCTGTTCTGGGGCGTGGAGGGAAAATGGAGAGAGGTGGTGAGAGGGGATGAGGGGTGCCGGAGCCCGGAGAGGGACAGCTCCCTGCCTGAGGCCGTGCCCCCAGCCCAGGGCAACCGGGCTCGCGCTCACCCAGGCTGCTATCCCGGGTTTTCACGCCACAGTGCGTCCAGCTGCGGGCTCAGGGTGCCGAAGGCCGGCCGATCCTGCGGGCTGGGTGCCCAGCACAGCTGCATGAGCTCCTGAACCTGAGGGGGGGGGGTGCCTGAGCTGAGGGGCATGGCTTAAACTCAGCTTAATGGTACAAATTTGAAATCTCCTCACTTTGCTCCATAGCTCTCCACGCCCCCGACGGATCTCAGAACAGAAACTAAGTCTGACTGTTGCCCCCCTTCTTTTGTCTGGAGACAGGGTCTCAGTAACCCTGACTGACCCCAAACTCATGGCAACGCTCCTGCTTCAGCCTCCAGATTGCTGGGTGATAGACACACAGCCCACATCTCACCCCGCATTCGCTTCTATCCCCCCCCCCCCACGGCCGTGACTCCCACTGGGAATGACTTTTCCCAGCTATTCCAACAAGCGTCATTCACCCTGGGAGAGGCCTGCCAACCCCCAGAATCACAATCGCTTAGGGCACTCTAGCTCAGTGGCGGGCGCTTGCCTAGGGTGTGGGTGGGTGTGTGTGTGGCCCTGCATTCAGTTCTCAGCACTGTAAAAAATAAGTAGGTAAAAGAAAAATTGAAATATGCATTCGAGAGCCATTGTGGTAGCTCTCATGCATTTGTCTTCTCAGACCACAGGAGACTGAGGCAGGAGGATGTCGAATTCCAGGCCAGCCAAGGTCTCAACAAAGGTGAAAGCCTCCCTCATCCTGTAAAGCAATGGCATTCCGGGCCAGGCCCCCTGCTGTCAATCAGGATTGTAATCTGGGAAACTGAGTTGCTTCCCTCACCTTGGCCGGGCAGGCGGGAGGTGGCGGGAGGCGGCGGCCCTCCGCCAGCAGCTCCAGGAGGCGGCAGAGCGTGGGCCCCTCCCGCTCTGGCCCTATCAGACGCAGGAACTCCTACGGGAGAGGGGCAAGTGGGACAGGGCAGGGGTCAGGAGGAGGGCTGAGGTAGGAGGAGGGCTGGGGGTCAGGAGGAGGGCTGAGGTAGGAGGGCTGAGGTCTGGAGGAGGATTGAGGTAGGAGGAGGGCTGGGGGTCAGGAGGAGGGCTGAGGTAGGAGAAGGGCTGAGGTCAGGAGGAAGGCTGGGGTCAGGAGGAGGGCTGGGGGTCAGGAGGCAGAACTGGCGGCTAGGAGGAGGGCTGAGGTCAGGAGGAGGGCTGAGGTCAGGAGGCAGAACTGGCGGCTAGGAGGAGGGCTGGGGCGCGGGGCTGGCGACGCACGGCGGATGGACTGCAGCTCTTGTCGCTGTAGGTGAAGAGCTCGTACAACACCACGCCGAAGCTCCACACGTCAGACTGGCGGGAGAAGACGTTGTCTGAAAGGGACTCGGGGGCGTACCTGAGGACGAGACAGAGGCGTGGCCAGAAAAGAGTGTGACTCCCGAGGGGCGTGGTTAGGTGTGAACACCCCCCTGGCGAGGGCGCGGCTAGTGTGAGTGTGGTCAGCCTGGGCCCAGAAAGGGGGCGTGGCTGTACGGAATTCGTCGGGCAGCTACTTAGTAGCAGCGGCCGTAGAAGGTGGCTTAGAGACTGGCACTAAGGGAGGGGGAGAGCGTGTGGGTGTGGCCAGGATGGGGTGGAACTCTAAGTGGATAGGGCGGGGCTTGGGTCTGGTCAGCTTTGTGGGATGGGCTGCTAAAACAGGGCCTGAGCAGGTAGGCTTAAGTCACATAAGGGAAGGAGCCAGAGAGAGAGGAGTAGGTTTGACTGAGGAAGATGATTACGGTATGGGAGGGGGGATCTCGTGGAGCATGAAGGGAGAGGCGGAGCTAAAAGGGGCGGGGCCTGGGTAGAGGACAGATTTTGGACTCCCAGGACGGAGTCAGAACGGGGAGGGGCGTGGTTACGGCGGCTGGATCGTCCCTCTGTCCTGTCTGCCCAGTGGGCGGGGCGGAGCTACAGGGCGGACTCTTTGCTGTGGGTGGGGACTCTGCGATGGCAGGTCTAGCGAGGTACAGGCGGGCGGGCAAGGTCAGAGGGGCGTGGCGTCTGGGGTCTCGGCTTCGCACCAGAAGATGGGGCTCTGTCCAGGCTCGCGGACCACGTAGTAGTCCTTTCCAAGCGGCAGCAGTTTAGCGAGGCCGAAGTCCGCGATCTTCACATGCGACTCGCTCTCCACCAGGATGTTGCGCGCGGCCAGGTCACGGTGCACGCAGCGGCGCGCGCCCAGGTACTCCATGCCCTGCAGGGAGCCGTGAGAGCGCGTGGGCCCGGTATCCCGGACCGCAGGATGCCCATCCCCTGCCTCAGCGCCGGTCGCACCTTGCAGATCTGCCAGGCGAACAGCAGCAGGCGGCCGGCGTGCAGGCGCGCGCGGTGGCGCTGCAGGAAGTCCCGCAGGCAGCCGCTGGGCAGGTACTCCATCACCAGCCGCAGGCTCTGGCGACCTGCGGACAGCCACAGAAGCTCTTGCGCACCTTCTACTGGGTGCGTTGGTTCGTTCAGGCTCCAACTTGAGAAGCTTAGGCTCAGTGGGGTAGCGGCCTTCTCAAAATGGCCTGAGTGGGAAGGGGGTAGAAGCGGGATTTGAACCCGCTACAGAGACACTGATGCCGCTCACCGGGCCCGTAGCTGACTCCCCGGTACTTGACGATGAAGTCGCTGTGCAGCGCCTTGAGGATCTGAATCTCCCGCTGGAAGTCCCTCTGCTGGTCTGGCCCGCTGTGCTGTAGCTGCTTCACTGCCACCAGGGGTCCCGTGTTGTCCCCCAGAGGGTCGTAGCGGCACAGTTCCACGCTGCCGAAGTTGCCCTGTGGGTGGGAGGGCAGCCGGCACATGGGGGCTCCTGCTGCGGTGCCCGCCCGCCAGATCCACTCAGCCCCGCCCACTCACCTTGCCCAGCAGAGAGATGTACTTAAGGTGTCTCTCCTCAAAGATGGAGGGGTCCTGACAGGCGGAGAGCTGCGGGCCACCGCACAGCTCATCTCGGGGACTCAGGCTGCCCGGCGTGGGGTCTGAAAGGAGCTCGTAATCTGGGGGGGGGAATCACATGAGTAAATGGGGTATCTCTCTGCTCCACCCCCAAACTGACTTTCTGTGTGAATGCCACTTGAACACTGTCCTCTCGGTGCTCATGACACGCCCACGGGGACCTCGTGGGGAGTGGAAATGATCACTGTCCCCGAAAAGGCGCACTCTGTGGGACCCCAACCGGTAGAGACACAAAGTGGACCTGATGGACAGGGCCATGGAGTGACATCGGCCTGTCACCCGGATACCCTCAGATGAGAACATCGAGCTGACAAAAAATTTAAGATTAATAAAACCAAATCCCGGCGCCCGGGAAGGTGAGGCGGTTAGAGCTCCAGCCTGGGCCTAAAACAGATCGAGTCCCAGTCAAGACGCCTGTTTGTGGCAGCAGCTGTCTTAGCCCCTGCTGGCTGCTGGGGCCACAGACCTCCCTGGATCCAGGTCCGGAGCCCTTCCTCCTCTTCACCCCCAGGGAACCCCACCCCCGACCGTCCCAGCTCAGGCACCAGATGTAATGAGGCCGTTGAGGTCCCGAAGGATGGCTCGGAAGGAGGGGCGCCGGCCCGGGTCGTACTCCATGCACTGTGCGATGAGCCCCGCCAGCTCCGTCCACTTGGGGGCGGGCAGCTGGCCCCGGTCCTCGTAGAACTTCAGCTTCTGAGGGGCGAGGATGACGCCAGTCACGTGGTCTAACCTTCCCTCACGACCCCCTACCCCCGGCTCTGCAGGCGCGCTCTGACCTTGGCGGGTTCTAGGGCGGTGATGTGCACGGGCGCCCCGTTGAACACCTCCCACGCCGTGGCGCCGAAGCCCCACTTGTCAGCCTCCAAGCCGAGAGCCTGGGCTTCCTGGAGACACTCGGGGGCCACCCAGGGGATCCTGTCGGCGAGCACTGCAGGACGCGGGAGTGAGAACGGCCACTCGACAGAGCGTCCCCTGGCGCAGTGCACACCCTGTGCGAGCGCGCAGGGCTGCAGACAAGGACACAGGGTACAGCCGGGTGCGAGACTACTCACTTTCCAGGCTCAGCACTGTGGGGCTGACACCAGGGTCACTCAGCTTGATAAAGGGTGGACTCCCATCAACCCCCTCGCGAGCCAGGAGCACCTTCCGGGCTGAGACGTTGCCATGAGGGAGGCCTTTGTCCTCCTAAGTGTTCCAGGCATAGGGAAATGTGGGTGGGCATTTGATAATGAACACTGTTAGGCAAACTCCTCTGCGTCCTTCAGGGCCCATTGGTTGCCGTCCAGACAAACAGGCTGTGGCCCCTGATGGCATGTCTTGGTACCCTCCTCTCCTCTTATACCCACCTGACCACACCCTGCCCCCAACACTTGTCCACCCATTACCTTCCCATGGCTTTAGGGACAGTAAAAGCACCTCAGCCTGAGACTCAATGTCCTTTCTTCTCACTGTCTTCAGCCCCCACCCCCGCTCCCTCCCCCAGTCTAGCTTCCTCACTCGTTGCTCTGTACCCCGTGGGTGCACAGTCCTCCCTCAGTGCTCTGAGCCTGCCCATGTCCTGTTCCCATGTTCTGCATGTCCTTACCGAGCTCCTATCCACACTACAGAGCCCACTCTTATTTCCCCATCTTCAGAGGAAGCCTCCCTGTGGACACAGAGGACACTCACCAAGTAGTTGAGGGCATAGGCCAGTTGCTTGGTCACCTGCAGCTTCCAGCTGGCCGCCACCAGATGGCCACGCTTGCGCAGATACGTGTCAATTGCTCCTAGGTACACAAATTCCTGTACCATGATGCCTGGGGACAGGGGAAGAGAGGGGCTGGTGACACGGGGCTCACCATGCTCAGCTGGCTCTGCCTCCATGTGCCTTCTGCTCTTAGCACAGGCTGGACTTTTGTTGACTCTCTGCTCAACTGAACAGATACAGGCAAGATTCAGAGGATGTGCAAGGAGCTGCCGAGGTGCACAGCAATTAGCCAGCAAGGTGTGAGTGGACCGGAGTCTCGGCCGCGGGGCTGGGGTGTGGAGTGGGTGAGTGTGTGGAGGCTCCATGCACATCCCCCGAGGCAGGGAGGGGCCAGGGCTGGGGTGGGGTGCAGGTCAGGCTCACTGTCTCCAGCCATGCAGACACCATGCAGCAACACGAGGTGCGGGTATGACACTTGGCTCATCAGGCTTGCGGCTTCCAGAAAGGACTGAAGAGGGGAGAGCAGAGGACATGTGGATTCCTCCCCGCTGGTCCTCAGTGGGATGCCCACCAGCTCTCATTGGGCCCATAGTCGGAAGTCCTGCTAGAAGCTCCCTCCAGTCTCTCATGTGATAGGCTTAGGGAAGAGCCGAAGTCTCGGCCTCCCTTGGCCCTGCCCTTGAGATGTTATGTCCTGGGCAGTTGTCATCCCTTTTGTTCCTCCCCAGCCTTTGTCTGGCTGACACAGCTGGCCCTCAGGACTTCAGCATGCTGTGTCTGCAGCTGCTGCTCACTGCCAGCTCAGTGTGGCTGCACTCCATTTTGGTTTGATGGAGTCTGGCTATATTCCTGCATCTGGTCTTGACCTTCTAGGTTCCAGCGGTCCTCCTGCCTCAGCATCCCCCAAAAGCCAGGACAACAGGTCCCAGTTCCTTGCAGGTCTCATGGCCTTCTGCTCTGGTCCCCACCTAACCTCCATGCAGTTCTGGTGTCTGGCATCCATGACCTTCAGGAGGACTTCCGTGTCATGTGCCTCACCATCCACCGCCTCCCGCCGGCGGCCGCGGTAGATCTTGGTGAAAGAGCCATGGCCTAGGTTCTCGTGCTGTGGGAGAAACGCAAAGGGAGCAGCAGCTGACAGCAGTTCCCGAGTCCCTGGAGAGGGGCCCTGGCCCTGGCTCCCATCTCCGGGACCCTCACCCACTCCAGGCTGTCCTCTGGGATTGTGTGGAAGCTCAGCTGGGTCAGCACACAGCAGGACCGGGAGCGGCCGGGGACTGGCTGGGGAGTGCAGCCCCTTCGCACCACGATCAAATTGGACTTTTCTGGGGAACCAGAAAGCAGAGATCAGAGGTGAGAGGCAAAGGTTTCCAATATTTAGACTACTGGGATTTAGCCTGGGGACCCCCCGGAAGTCGCTCCTGAGATGAAAGCCCTGGGCTTTGGGCAGAAGGGCCACCATCGTTTGTGTCAGCTAGGACAGTGGAGTGAAGAGACCTGCCCCAGCAGGAGTTCGCCTGTGTGTTCACCCAGGAAGAAGTTCGAGGTGGCAGCTAACTGAGAAAAATGGACTTTGAACCTGCAGACTGTGTTTTCTGTCCGGATCCCCTTGTTCCTTGGTTTCTGCCACCACCCCAAGAGCTGCTGGGAGGTGGGGAAGGAAGAGCGGCTCACCCTTAGGTCTGGGGGCACAGCAGGATGTGAGGCGCAGGGCAGCGCCTTCCACGTGCAGCCCGGAGTGCCAGCAGGCTGCGATCAGCTCTCGCAGGCTTCTGTGGGACTGGCTGAGGCCGACCAGCACGAAGGCCCCACGGGGGTCCCGGCGGATGAGGCAGCACTTGTAGTCGGGGCCAAGGGGAGTCTGCAAAGGGGAGCTGCACCAGGCGCGGAGCGGAGGCCCCACCCCTTCCTGTTCTCCCGGAGAACCGCTCAGTCCTCTCTCTGCAGCCTCTGCAGATGAATGCCCCAGAAGCTGGCAGTGTGCTCCCTGGGTGTTTTGCGTTTTTAAAATGATGTTTATTTTTGTGCATTTCTGTGGAGATGCGTCCCACTGTGCGCATGTTGAGGTCAGAGGGCAACTGGTGGGTGGCGGTTCTGTTCTTCCACCGTGTGAGTGCCAGGAATCAAACTCGAATCCTCAGGCTTGGTGGAAAAAAAACTTTTTCCCCACGAAACAATTTCTCTCATCATTTGTTTTCTCTCTCATTTGTTTTCATCAAAAACAACAGTTTTTGATGCGCAGTCTCTATGTAGCCCAGGCTAGCCTGTAAACTTGACCCTCCTACCTCAGCCTCTTAAAATCTAGGACTACAGGCCAGTCTCTTCAAGGAAAAATAAATTCTTCCCATTCTGTCCCACCTCAGGCGTCATCTCCAGAAGCATTCCTGGCACCAGCCATGAACCAACCTGGATGCAGGCCGTGAGAAGAAAGCTGTCATAGTCCTGCGGGCTGCGGCGGAGAACGTAGGTGCCAGGGAGGGAGCCAGCAGCTTTCAGCTTGTGGATGGCAAAGTCTAACCTAGGCCAGGACAGAAACCAGGTCAGACCCTGGTCAGACCTGCTGCAGGCTATGCTCCCACTGTCACCCCCGGGCCGCTCCTCACGTGATGGGCCCATGGCACAGCTCTGCCTCTTCCTCCAGCAGCCGCGGAGGCGCCACCTCCTTGCAGAAGTAATGCCTGGAGTCGCAGATCAGACGGAAGTAGCCATCCACGAGGGCCACAAAGGACAGCGCCTCAGGTAGCCCCGGGAACTCCGCTTCCTGCCCGGGAGAACTCTTCAGCTATGAACAGAGCCCACGGCGCCCACCCGTTCTAAGGGTCAGTCCCAGAGCAGCGGGTCCCAAGACCCACCAGGATGTGGCTGTCCATCCTGGTGATGGTGACCAGCCGGTGCTCCCCTGCCGGACCCACGCGTGGGGCATGCTTGATGCTGACATCCACGATTTCAGGAAAGTCACAGAAGGTTTGGAAACGCTGAGGAAGAGAGGATGGGAGAGGCTGGGGGATTACAGGCCCATCCAGTCTAGCCTCCTTCACACTCTCATTTCCTAGAAGAGCCTGGCCTGGTCAGGCCGCGCCCACCGGCTCAATCCGGACCATTCCCTCGGTCTGACTCCGCCCTATTTAGCCCCGCTCTAGGTCTAATTCCAGGGAAGATCTACCCTTGGTCCCGCCCCGAATTGGCCACGCCTACTAACTAGCCTCGCCCCTGGATCGCTTCATGCAACCCCGCCCAGACTGGCTCCTTTCCTGATTGGTTTCTTTCCCTGATTGGCTCCACCCTACACTGCTCCGTTTGGCTTTTCTTACTGCCCCGCCTAGCAAGGCCACGCCCCCAGCACCTCCGGGTCCCCGGGACTCCAGGCGATCCCGCTGCCTCCCGCCACGCGCAGGAGCCCTGGCTCCTCCTGCGCTCCCGGGAGCCCCACGCGGAAGGTCTCGGCGGCGGCAGCCTCTGGGTGCAGCCGCTCCAGGTCCAGGATGTACTTGACCATGAGCGCGTAGCGGTCCGTCTGGCAGGCGACCACGCGGCGCAGCGCCTGAAGGACGGTCCTGCGGATGCGCTTGCGCGTCATGAAGCTCAAGCCCCGGATCAGGTTGCGCAGGCTGGGCGGCAGGCAGGCCTTGTAGCTGTGGGTGGGGAGCACGCCGGGCATTCGGAGTGGGAGGGGACCTTTGGGCAGAGCCAGGCTGAGGGAGAGGTAGCTTCAGGAGTGGGCATTGGGAAGGGGGTATGTGCAGGAGTTGGGTAAGAGGAAACGGTAGGGCTCCGGCCCGCAGCCAGAGGACACAAGAGAGGTGGCCCGAGGCCCTCACCTGATGCTCTTGAGCAACTCGCCCGGCCGCTGGGCCTGCTCACGAGCCATCTGGGCCAAGTCCAGCACGGCTAGGCTCAGGAACTCTCCCTGCTCCTTCAGGCTGAGGCCCACGGGGAAGCGCCCACTCACCAGGTCACTGCGGTGCTAGGTCGGCCATAGGAGGGAGGTCAGATGAAGTCCTGCTCAGCCTGAAGCTGGAAGGTTCTTTCTTGGGGTTCCCCCAGCCCCGGTTGAGCGTTCCCCACCTAAGTCTACCAACCTGGGCAAAGAGGCTTTCTAAAACATGTAAGTCAAGGATGGCACTGGTCAAATCTTTACGCAGCCCGAAGCGGTAACACGTCTCCAGCCCAAACCAGTCGGGGAAATAAAAGCTGTGGGTTTCAGAATGGGGTGGTATACTCAGCTCTGGCTTTACAGAGCTGGAGTGGGTCACTGGTGTGCCGCGCGGCCTACAGCACACAGTCCACCCTCTCTGGTCAATAGCCTCCACTGTAGACTGACTAGGTGAATGGAGAGGCTCACTTCCTACCGGAGTCTGTAAACCAAGACTTGGGTGTCCATGTCCTCCACGGAGAAGATGTGGCTTGGAGGGAACCAGCAAGACAGGTCCTCGGTCGACAGAGCGAAGAGCGAATGATAAACAGGCAGGATGCCTGGAGGGATGGGCTCATTAGTTCACCAAGTCACCCATGCAGTCCTTGAGCCTCCCTTACCAAACTTCTATACACCCCTCAGAGCCTCAGCACCAATGCTGACCTCTCAGTAGTTGCCTTGCTCAGCCCTACTAAGTGGCCCACTCACCACAGGCCTTGGCAGCCTGCACACACAGATCCTCGGCCACGTAGTCCCCAAAAGAGAATGACAGTCGCTGGGGAGGCCCAGGTCCCCGGGAAGGAAGGAGCACATGCAGCGTCCCTGCTTCTGAGGATGAGAGGCTGCAAGAGCGCTGTGCGATCAGAGGTGTCTCTTCACTTGGAGGTGCCATGAGTATAACCTAGAGAGGCAGAGAAGGGCTTCTGACTGAAAGGTGGGAGAGGAGCCACAAGCCCTCAAGTGACAGGCAAGCTAGGGACCGGGTGTCTTCTGGTTGTGTGTGAACACCTCCTTGTGCTTCTCTGCAACCAGGGCAGACATCTCCAATTGATCCACAAGCCTCCACATCCCTAGCCAGCCAAGTCAATACCCCAGACAGGCATGAGCAATCAATGGCAGATACAGAAACAACCCTCAACAGGAAGCAGAGGGACGATTGTCATATTCTCTGTGGGTCTTCAGGGTCACAAGACCATCTGAGCTGGGGCCAGAGGCCTCTGTGGTGGGCACTTTGTGCATGAGTGTCCATCCCTCTCTGGGCTCTCTTCACCCTATCTAATTCCTCTTTGGTTCCCAGGGCAGTGCGGTTCGCTGAATGGGCCTAGGTGAAAACAGCTTCCTTAGAGCTGTTGAGGGCAAGATATGGGGCTAGCCCCTGAGAAAAGGCAGGAAACAGAGCTCAGACCACAGTCCTACACCTCAAAGCCATGAAGGTGGCTGCAGCCAAGCCTTCTACCTCCAAAGCTCGCATGGTGGAAAGAGCTGCCCCCTGACCCTGCGTGAGTGCCCCTCCCGGAACAAGTATGCACGGTGGCGCGCACTTGTCACCACAAAACTCCACAGGTGGAGACAACATGGACGGCCAAGGCCAGCCTAGGCTGCATGAGATTGTACTTAAAAACAAAATTGGGCAGGCACGCAGGAGGCAGAGGCAGGTGGATCTCTGTGAGTTCCAGGCCAGCCTGGACTACACAGAGAAACCCTGTATCAACAAACAGAACAGAAATTCGTAAGTAGCTAACTGAACAGAGTGCTGGAGACAGCCCAGGCTGAGAGCACTGGCTGCTCTGGCCAAGGACCCACCGCAGTGGCTCACAGCTGTCTGTGGGTCCTTCTGGCCTCTAGGGGTAATGCGCCCCAAAGCTTATGTTCCCACAAACCTGCAGAAGAGGTAGCACATGCCTTTAATCCCAGCCCTTAAGAGGCAGAGACAGGAGGATCTCTGATTTCGAGACCAGCCTGGTCTACAACAGATTGAGTTCCAGGACAGCCAGGGCTACACAGAGAGACCCTGTCTCAAATCAAGAAAATGAAGAAAGTTTTAACCTACTACTGGATGTGGTGGAACACACCTGTCATTACACGTTTACGATCAGAATCTGTCACAATTAGGTTGGGCAAGGTGGCTCAGCGGGTGAAGGTGCTTGCCAGTGAGCCTGACAGTCCACAGGGCCCACACGGTGGAACGAGAAAACGCACTTCAGCAAATTGTTCTCTGACCTCCGATCGTGCGTGTAGCACATACATTCCCACAGAATAAAATTAATAAAATGGTATAGAAGTATATAAAAATGAAACCATCATCATCTTCCCCAGCTCTGTGCTCCTGGAGGGTCTGCAGGAGGACTGCTATGAGATTCGAGCTACAGAGGGAGAGCCGGCCTCAAAATACAAAATGAAAGACAAATCCACAAAGGGGATACGAATCTCGGCGCGTGAGCTTTATACCAAACGTAAAGTTCCGGCCCTTTCCCTCCCGCTGAACCAGAGGGTGGGGGCGGGAGCCTGCGGCGCATGCGCGCGGTTGCGGCCGGCAGTGCGTTGTCCAGGCTGCGCCCCCCGCCCGAGCCCCCGCGCCCCGCGTTCCTACCTTCAGCCGCGCCGAGGCAGGGGCCGTGGAGCTGCGACAGGAAAGTCCCCGCTCCTTCCTGTGCGGCCCCTGAGCTTCCTGGCCGCCGTCATTTACGGAAAGTCAGGGTGCCCTGGGGGCGGGGCGGGACACCAGAAACCTAGGCGGCTGGTGCACCCTCCTGCATGACGGGCAGGGACTGAAGGCCGGGGTGCTGCTGGGGACCTCAGTGCACAACGCCTCCACCTTCGGCCCCAGGCTCCTGTCCACGCGTGTTCTTGGGGCCACATGGGCCTGCCTGGGGCCTGGACCTGCTGCCGCCGGCACACATTTCAGGCTTCAGTTTCCACTCCGCTCTCAACCTTTAACCTGGTAAAGGATACTCTGAGCAATGTTAAATAACACAGCCGGGGTGGGGGTGGGGAGGCGTGGTAGCGCTCGCCTGTAATCTGCCTCAGGGAGGCAGAGGCAGGCGGATGTCTGTGAGTTCGAGGCCAGCCTAGTCTGCAAAGAAAGTCCAAGACAGCCAAAGCTACACAGAGAAATTCTGTCTCAAAAAACAAAAACCGAAAACAGCAAAAACACAGTGGGAAAAAAACCGCCAAACCTCTGGGCCGCCCAGTCCTAATGAGCTAAGAGGGGCCCTGTCCTTGGGGACCCCACCCAGGCGCTGAGCAGACTCTCACTTCCTCTGAAAACCTCCTCCTATCCCTGTCCTGTCCAGATGCTGCCGTGCAGGATGCCTGAGACGTGCAGACGCTAGCCACGTAGTAGCTTGACTTGAGTTCCATCCCTGGGCCCCACAGGTACAGCCTGGAGGTTTCTGGAAAGAACGCATCAGGCCACAGAGCTTGATGGCAGGAGCCCATCCTCCATCCTTGGCTCTGCTCACGTCCAAAGCCTCGTATCAGGCTGCCGACCCCTTGTGCCTCCATCTGTTGCTAGTGGGGCAGAACTGAGAGTGAACCCCGAGGGAGAGAACTTCGTAGCCGGTTCCCCTAAAGCACGCCAAGTTCTGTTCTCTTATGTCTCTTCTGGAGCCTCAGACCCAGAGCACCAGCAGCTCCCAAAACACCAAGCACAGCAGGCTAGGCTTCTTGGCCTGCTGCTATGCTTGGGAGAAGATGAAGTGAGGAAACAGACACCAGAAATGGTGACAAGATAGCGGGTGTGATGCTGTGGATGAGGCAGAAGCCTGACAGAAAAAAAACAAGATGTGCCAGAAAGCTCACTGTGGAGCCCCTGCTCTGACTCCTCAGTGAGGGTCTGGGGGCGTGGCTCAGGGGTGGAGCCTGGGTAGAATTCACCAGTGAGAGGCAGGGGTCGTGGCTCAGACATGAGGAGACATCATCCCAGTTCCCCTCTAAAAAGGATGATGGGTGCAGTGCTGTGGTAGGGAAGACAGAAGGATGGTTGGGTGTTGCTGGCCACCGGCTTAGCTCCAGGCAGCCACAGAACCTGCCTCAAGGGAGTGTGACACAGCAGGACAGGGGATGTCCTCCTCTGGCCTCCACAGTCACATATGGAGCATGAAGAAGGCACCTACACTGCTATTGTCAAGCGTGGCAGCACTCAGGGGCCAAGGCAGTAACCTCACTGCAAGGCTGCGCCAATCCTGGTCCACACATTAAGTGTCACACCTGCTTAGGCTACATAACTAAACCATCTTAAAAAGAAATGAAAACATTTTTTGAAAGAAAAGAAAGAAAAAAGCAACTGTTGTGTTCCATTATAAGAAGTTCAGGGACTGGGAAGATGGCTCAGTGGTTAAGAGCACTGGCTGCTGTCCCAAAGGACCCAGGTTCAATTCCCAGCACCCACTTGGCAGCTCACAACTGTCTGTAATTCCAGGATCCAACACCCTCACACAGACATACATACAGGCAAAACACAAATGTGCGTAGAATAAAAATAAATAATTTTAAAAAGTTCAAAGCACAGAAAAACATAACCATGTTTGTGAGAAGCAGGAAGAAAAATGAGGGAATTAAGATTTTTGGACAGGGAGGAAGCAATGGGGACCCTGCAGGGGGCTGTCACCCCAACTCTGGTCTGAAGTGGCCTTGCCTCTGCTTTACTGCTGATAGCTAACTAAAAATTACTTTTAAGAACTGGAGTCCTTAGGATTCTCAGGTTTTTAGGTTTGAACTCAAATGAGCTGTTGCAGAAACACAAGATCATTTGTTATGATCCCTCTTCTGAAGGTGGAGAAACCAAGGCACCAAGTGTTGGGAGATACTTTGGAATATGGAGGGAACCTAGCACTATGCAAACCAGGCCCCCACCCCTCACTGGGAGATGCTAGTCAAGGGATCTGTGGGTGTTCAAATAAGAATTCCCCTCCCCCCAGGTTTGCCACCAGAACAGATACCGTTAGGAGGTATGGCTTTGTTGGAGGAAGCATATCACCGGAGGTAGGCTGATCAGCTTCAAATGTTCAAGCCAGGCCCAGTGTCCCTACTTCCTGCCACCTGAGGATCCAGATGTAGAACACTCAGTTTCTTCACCATGTCTGCCTGAATGCTGCCATGCTTCCCATCAGGACTAAACCTCTGAAACTGTAAACCATCCCCAATTAATTATTATTATTATTATTTTGTAAGAGTATCCTTGGTCATGGTGTCTCTTCACAGCAATAGAACACTGACTAAGATAGGGTCTACCCATGAGCCATGTCCCAGACCCTCACAGGGGTATTTTGGGCAAGGCCTGAGTGAGGCTCCTATTCCTCTGGAATTCTCACAGGTCCTGCTGTGAGAAACCTCCTGAGTTGTGCAGGAACTCCGTGACCTCAACCTGGTGTTACATATCTTTGAGACCCAATAGGAGGAGGAGCCCTGAGGTTGTGAGGAGAGTTGCAAGCATAGCAGTATTGGAACCTGGACACAGGCACACAAAGGCAAGGGTCTCAGGCTGGACTGACTCAGTTGAGATGGGTGAGGGGCTGCAGTGCAGCTACTCAGGGAGCTGAAGCAAGAGACAGGAGGCTTAGCTGTTGGGGCAGCTCACCAGTACCATCCACAAAAACACTGAAGTGGATCCTAGCATTTACCCTGACACATATAGCCACACACGTGTATAAGACATGCCGCTGGCTGGGAGGGCAAAGGGAGTAGGAAGAATGGGTGACAATTCGAGGGTTATCTTCCGGGGTATCCAGGTTTGAGTCCCAGCACCCACATGGTGGCTCACTGCCACCTGCAGCCCAATCCCAGCCACCTGACACCTTCTCCTGGCCTCTGTGAGCACCAGGCACACAGCAGAACACCCACAGCATGCAAAATAAAAGTAATTACACTTTACCAAGAGCAGTGGAGAACTCAGATGGCTGGCTGGCTAACAGCTCCCGAGGGGCCTGGGGGATGAGGGTGGCCGCCAAAGCCTGAGGATGCCATTCTGTCTCCAGAACGTGCAGGAGGAGCTGCTCCTGTGTGTGCCGCCATCCCTTCTCCAGGAGGATTCTGGGGGCTAGCTGGACAGTAGGCCAGCCTAGCCCTGAGTCCCAGGCTGTCAGCCACTGCCCACAGCCACAACCAATAGGGGACCTGTGCATGAGGAACAGCACCCGAGGCTGCCCTCGGTACAGGTGTGTATGCAAACTCACACACACACACACCGACACACCCAAACATAAATCAAGGAGGCCCTGCACGATGCCTCAGTGAACTCTTCCAGCCAGGCCCGAGGACTTGAGTTCCATTCTGGAAACCCACGTGGTGGGAAGGGAGAACCAGCCCTGGAAAGTTGTCCTCTGACCTCCACAGGCACGCTGCAGTACAGGTGTACTGCCTCACCCCTACACACGTAGCTGCTGTAATTTTAAAAATGCTTAGATTTATTTTACTTCTGTGCACGTGTGTATTTCCATGCAGACGGTTGGGAGCCACCTTGTGGGTGCCGGGCACAGAAGACTGAGTTCTCTGGAAGACCAGGCCGTGCACTTGATCACAAATGGTAAGTTTTGTTTGTTTTGGTTTTTAGAGCCAGACTCCCTATGACCAGGTTAGCCTCAGATTCACAGAGATCTGCTGCTTCTACTTCCAGAGTCCTGGGATTAAAGGTGTGCACTGCCATGACCAGGAAGAAATAAAGTTACAAAACGGGCAGGCACCGAGCCAGTGGCAGCACTTGCTTCACATGGGTTCTGAGTTCAAGTGTCAGCATTCGGAAAGAACAAAACACGAAATAAAACGATTCCGTGCTGGGAAAGCAGGGCCGGCGCCCTGGGGCACTGAAGACTGGACATTGACGAACAAATAGGAGTTTTATTATCCAGGAAAATGTAAACCGAGAGCACAAGTTAGGTGGCTCAGAGAGAGAAATAGAAACGTGGAGAACTAGACAGATAACAGCATGGACAGAAACACCCACGGAGGCTGAGCCGGGGACTAAGAGCTGAGGAACAGCTCTGCGGCTCCCGGCCCCTTTAAGGCGCCCGCCCGGCGCCGCCCCGTCACGCGTCCCCGGCTCCGCCCGCGCCGCAGCGTCAGCGCGCGTCAGGCGCTGTCCGCGCCCCCGGTGCTGAAGCGACATGGCCGGCGGCCGGGCCCCGGCGTGAGCCCCGAGCCCCACGCTGCGCCCGCCGCGCCCTGGCCGCCCGGAGTCATGTCTCTGCTGTGCGTGGGAGGTAGGAACCGCGTGGACGCGGGCGAGGTGCAGGGCCCGCTTGGATGCGTCCGGCTGGCTGCACTGAGCAGGGGACCCCCGGGGCGCGCCGCGGGGCGCGCAGGCACCAGCTCTAAGGGTCCTGCCTGCCGCACACACGCGTGGACGCGGGGTTCGGGCTCCTGTGTAGACGCTGTATGGGCGGCGGGGGCCGAGCAGTCGGCGGGCCGTGAGCGCCGGGGTGGGTGGTGTGGGGACGGCTGGCCCGGCCTAGCTCTAGTCGCCAGTGTTCCTCGAACAGTGCAGCGGCTCCGGGGAAGCGCGTGGCTCCCTCTCCGCCTCACCCTAGGGCTGGAGGGAGGGAATGAGACGCGGAGTGGGGGACAGCTATTTTGGGGCCAAAACGCCATCTGCACCGAGGCCCACGCCCAGGCCCACGCTCCGCGTTTTGGGGGGAGGGCAGGAACCACGGGAGAGGTGTGACCCTGCACCCCTCGAAGCCTCAAAAGGGGCCAGGCTCAGCCGCGGGGTAACTGCCGCGGAGACCTTGGGTGGGGGACTGGCCAGGTACGGGTGCTCTGGGTCCGTGGGGGGGGGGGGGCTGCACCCGTTACCCTTCCCACCTCCTGGAGGCTGTGTGGGGAGGAGGGCGAGTCTCCATCCGCCTCAGAACTCAGGCTGCCGGAGACCTTGGGCGGCGGGTGTGCGGAGTTGTTCTCCGCGGGTGCGAGGCCCCAGCTGGCCCCGCCCCCTCTGCCCTTCCCCCCTCCAGGCCCCTCCCCCTCCGCTCTCCGCTAGCGGCTTCATTCACAAACCCGGCCCCGCCCGCCCGCGCCCCGCGGTGCCCGGCTCGTGTCTGGTAGACGCGGGTGTTCTTAAAGGTGCAGGAACCCTTTTCGCTGAGTCGGCCCCGAGGGTTCCGACCGCCCAGGGTCTCTGGGCAGCTGAGGCCTCCAGGCCTGGGGAGTACATGGAGCTGAGCGTGAAGGGGACCCTTTGGGCAGCTCCCACAGACCCAGCCATAAATGGAAGTTGGGCTTCCTCCTTGGCAGCTCCGTGCGCCCGGCGTCCTCCCATCCTCCCTTGTGTCGGGGGCCGTCACCCCAACTCTGACGCAAACCGGAGGCTCGGTTGTGGGGGCGGAGGCCGGGCAGCGTCAGAAAGGAGGCTTCCAGAAAGCCAAGTCTGGGCGACGTTTGTACTGAATTCCGTGGACACCACGGTGGGGAGATCTAGGGGCGAAGGGCAGGGCTCTGGGGAAGGAGTCCGGCAGGAAGGTGCAGGTGGGGCCTGCCAGGGGGAGGGGTTGCGCCTGGCCAAAGCTGGGCGTGGAGTCGGCCAGTGGAACTCAGCTCAGCCTCCTCACAGTAAGGGAACCTCTTAGGCCAACCATCCGCCTCCCTCCCTAAGGAACCTTTACGACTCCATGGGGCTATATGGCAAAGGCTGCGGCCCGGTATATGAGGGCTCCTGTCTCCGTGTTGCAGTATAGATCTGGACTGTGCACACAGGATGATAACAAATGTTTAGGATATACACATAGATTGGCAGGAGCGGAGGCTCAGTGTGGGGAGTGCCTGCAGCTCAGTTAGTACAGTGCTTATTGCTCAGTTGGTAGAGTGCTTGCAGCTCAGTTGCTGCAATTTGCGGCTCAGTTGATGCAGTGCTTTTCTCTCAGTTGGTACAGTGCTTATAGCTCAGTTAGGAGAGCGTTTATAGTTCTGTTAGTGCAGAGCTTGCATCTCAGTTGAAACAGTGCTTATAGCTCAGTGATACAGTGCTTGCAGCTCAGTTGGTACAGTACTGGCCAGTATGCACAAAAGTCTAGGTTTCATCCCTAGCATCACATAAACCAGGTCTTGTGACACATGCCAATCATCTCAGCACTTGGGGGACAGAGACAGGGGGTCAGCAGTTTGAAGTAATACTCAGCTACACAATGAATTCCAGGCCAGCCTGGGCTACATGAGCCCTGTCATACACAGACAGATGCACTGTGCCTTACACCTGAGCCCTCAGCCAACTTGCAAGAAGCCATGATGTATATATGTGGAGGTCAAAAGACAGTTTGGAGAAGTCTTCCTTCTTCTTCCACCACTCACATCCCAGTCTGCCGACACAGACTCTCTGAAACTCTAGCTCACTGATTGGCTAGCCGTTGGACCCCAGGATCTGCTTGTCCCTGCTTCCTTAAAGCTGGGGTTAGAGCAGTCAACATTCAGTCTGGCTCTTTTCCTGGATCCTGGGGATCTGAACTCAGGTTTTAGTTCTTGTGGGGCAGACTCTTTACCTGTGAGCTAGCTCCTCAGTGCCTTCCTCCATTTTTCTTTAAGAAAAGAAAAAAGAAGAAGAAAGCCATATTTTAGCCAGGTGGTGGCAGCACACACCTTTAATCCCCACACTTGGGGCAGAGGCAGGGGATCTCTGAGTTGGACACTGGACTGGTGTACAGAGTGAGTTCCAGGACAGCCAAGGCTACACAGAAAGACCCTGTCTTCAAAAAACCAAACCAAGAGATAACAGTAAAACAAAACACAGGGAGAGAGGCACTCCCAACAGCCGGAGCTCTCTCCAGTAGCCAAGCACCACTTCTGGTCTCATGGTGAGCAGAGGCTGGCTTTGAACTCCCGATCTTCCTGCCTCAACATCTGGAGTGCTCAGATAAGAAGTGTATGTCTTAAAAGTTCCATAAATATTTCATAAACAAAATGAACAGAGGAGGGTGTGTGTGTTCATGTAACCACACATGTATGTATGAGGTGTAGGTGTGAATAATATCAGTCGAACTTGCCTGTCAGTCAGCAACCCCACATCACAGATGAGGAAAACTGAGCCCCAGAGAGGTTCATCCGTTTGCCAAGGTCCACACATCAGGAAGGAGCTGAGGACTCCCTAGCTGACTGTGGGCTGGGGAGGAAAGTGTCAGGGTCTGTTTCCTCCTCCTTTCCCAGAATCCTTTGCAAAACTGTGTTCCCAGTGACCTCACAGCCAGCAACAGGGACCTACCCACTGCGAGAGAGTCTGTGCTGCCTGCCGGTCTCCTAGAGGGGGTGACAGCCCAGCTTAATACCTCCCTTGTACCTAGCCTGCAGCCAGCATCTCTACTGTTGTCATCCATGGCTCTCTGAAGGGCTGGTAGCCTTCCTTAGTATGCCCTGATGCCTTCCAGAATAGCCAAGTGCCCCACTCTACCCCGTGGACCTGAACAAGTCTTCCCAAGACAGTTGCCTTTAATCAGAAAACCGATCTAAGCATCTGAGGCTGCCACTGAGAATAAAAATAGTGTGGGTGACAAGGAATCCAAGGGAGGGGTAGCTTTGCCTCCAACTAGATGGGGAAACTGAGGCCATGAAAGGTTCAGGGATCTGAATCGCCAGTGGCCTCGCCTGGTGCTATAAATAGCTGAGCCAACAAGGCACTTCCGACACTAACCTCAGCATGGCACTGGGAGGTGGCGGGATGTGACGCTGTGGTGACTGGGGTGTGATGGGACACACACACACACAGCCCCACCCTCCACTCCACAGAGACCTGCTGCCTGAATCCCAGTCTGGGTTCTCCCAGAGCCCTTCCCTCATCTAGACATCCTCTCCCCATTCTGACATTCCACTCTCCCCAGAAACCCTCCCCCAACACTCTTTCCCTCCCCTGCTCTGACACCCCCTGCTCCCAGACGCCCTCCTCGTCCCCCAGACACACCAACAGACACATGGACTCCTTGCACAGACACCTCAAGGCCTCTTCTAAACACCTCGACCCTTCCCCCTCTCAGACTCCAGTTCCCCAACAGAAACTCCCACACTGGGCTCTGCTCCAGACCTCACTACTAACTACTCTCCTCCAGGCTCCTCCCCCACCATGGCTGCTCCCTCAAGCCCCTTCCCCCTAACAGACTTTCCCTCAGATGTCCTGTGTCTCCTGGGTCCTAGCTCAGACTGAGAGTGACCTGGGCTGTCAGAGTGGCCGGGCTCCAGCCAGCATGGGGGCTGGAGGACCCCCCTAACATTCACCCTCCAGCCACAGAGGCTGCAGTGTAGGGGCTGAGGATCGTGGAGGAAGAGGGACATGACAGATGGAGGAAGAGAGGAGACAGGGTAGGTGATAGGGGGGCAGCAGCCAAGAGGGTTTGGAAAGCACGGAGGAAGAGTGAGCTGAGGATGGAGGCTCAGAGAGCTCACCTGAAGGCACAGGTCACACAGCCTTCCCTCAGTCCAGTGTCCAGTCCTTCTCCTTTCATACTCTGCAATCCCAAGGGTGCTGGGCGAGATGCTAAATTTATTGGAACTTAAAAAACGAGCTTTTCAGCGCCCCCGCTGGTGACGGCATAGGAGCTCACATACCCCAAGGTCTAGAACAGGGCGTGTGGTGCTATTTGCGAAGTAAAAATCACCCATGTGTACAAGATTGTCTTTCATGATCTGGCAACAGCCAGCATCACTGTAAGCCAATTGTGTTGGTGGCTTCTGGGAGGAAAGGAGGAGGGCCTGGGAAAACAGGAGAGCCTGGCCTGAATGGATCAGCACCCTGCTTTGGTTTGCTCAACTTCTTGTGTATTATGTACACAGACCGAGGAAGGGAAAGCTAAAGAAGGTACCAAGAGAAGGACAGGTCAATCTGCCCACAGGCTCTGCCTCCAGCTGGCTTTGGAGTATTGAACCCTGAGCCCTGTGTGCCTTTGGCCTGAGTGAGAGGACAGCTCAGTCAGGGTCTGTGACCATGCAGGTGACTGGGAATGTCCCTCACCTCCGTCTGTCCACCTCACCCTGGAAGGCCTCTGGGGGAAAGCATCCTGCTGCCTCCTCAGCTCCAGGTTTAACCAAGTTGTGGTGAAGGGATGGGGAGCCTGGGAGAAGGGGAGGGTTGTGCCCATGGGCCAGACGCCTTCTGCTCTGGGTCTATCTGATGGCCTCTTTCCTCTTCCTCCTTCTCCTCTCTGCTTCTGATGCCTCTTCTTAATTCTCCTCTCCCTCTCTACCGTCTCTCTGTTTCTATCTCTGCATCTCTCTCTCTCCCCTCCCCACAACCTTCCTGGCTGTCTCTTATCTCTCTCTTCGCAGTCAAAAAAGCCAAGTTTGACGGCGCCCAAGGTAAGTGTCCTGTCCTGGCTGTCCTGCTGCACTGTCCCCGCCAACTGTCCCCCTGTCTGTTCTTACCTGCTCTCCTGGACTTCCATACCTGCTGTCATGCAGGGGGCAGGTTCATCTCAGGAGTGAGCTTTGTTTCCAGGCCAGAGGTCTTCTTGGGGAGGGACCCAGGGGCAGGCAGCACCTGAGACCCCAGAGGAAGCTGAGGTCTACACACATGTCCACCCAAACTCCACCGTAGGTCCTTCTGTCCGGCTAGGTTAGCTTGGAACTCACTAAGGCTGGCCTTGAACTTGCCATCCTTTGCATGGCCGGTCAATCCCTCCTGGGACCTCAGTTTCCCCAGCTGAAAACCAAGGCCTTTAGACTTCGCTTCCATTTCCCATGTGTAATTATAAGAATGGATGATAATTGGAGGTTCTGGGACCCGGGACTGCTGGTCCTGGGTTGAGATGAGCACACGGACCCGGGAGGGGACAGCCGGCCATTGCCCCGCTCTTCCGCTGCAGAGAAGTTCAACACGTATGTGACGCTGAAGGTGCAGAACGTGAAGAGCACTACCATTGCTGTGCGCGGCAGCCAGCCGAGCTGGGAGCAGGACTTCATGTTGTGAGTGTGCGGTCCCTTCCTCCTCGGCCACGCCCACCACGCAGACCCTCCACGACTACTCCCTAAAGGGCCCGTCCATTGTAGAGCTCTCCAGCCAGAAGCTTCGCCCACAAGTCCACTTTCTGAAAAGTTCCGCCCACACTTGCCCCACAGTGACAGGCCCCGCCCACACAAATACCCCCCCCAAGCATTTTCCACCCCCACCGGAAGATCCGCCCTTAACCCCATTCACCACAGGCTCCGCCTTTCCCCTCCAGGCCCGCCCACTGAAGGCTCCACCCTTATCTGACCCACTATTACCCCCACCCACAAAAATCCTGCTCATGTAGACCCCGCCCATCATAGGCAAATTCAGACAGGACCCACCGCCCCGCCCACAACACCATTTCCCCCCCTCCACCCCTGTCCACCCAGGCCCTATCTTCAGACTCCCATCAGGTCACACCCCAGGAGGTGCCCACAGGTTCCGCCCAAACAAGTCCCACCTCAACAGGTCCCGCCCCTGCCCTCACCGGAAACCCCAGAGAAGCTCCCCCTCTTAAGCTCCTCCCCAGACAGGCTCCTCCCACAGACTCCAAAGGGCTGGCCCAGCCTCTTCTTCCCCCAACCTGAGAGCCTGCCCACCGGCAGCCAGACCCTGCCCCTAGCACACATGTCACACCCACCACACTTTGACGCCACCTCTGACCCAGCCACGCCCCTCAGCCCATTACCCCACTTAGCCTGCTCCCCTCCTGGCCACGTCAGTGTCGCTTAGAATTGTCACTGCTCCCCAGGGCCCTTCAGCTCCCTTACCGCCATGCCCTGTCCTCTCCAGCTGGCCAACCCCTCTGAGATGCCTTTCTTGACCCACTGCCCTTCCCCACCTCAGCACGGAGGGGAGTCGTGGCCCCTGCTGGCTCAGCTCCCAGCCTCCACTGTAAGAAGAGTGGGAGCCCACGGTGACCTCCTCCGCGGTGTCCATACTACACAGGAACCGGGCTGGGGGCCGGCAGACAAATATTTGCTCTCAATACCTGTACCCTCGCGTCAACCCCCAGTCAGGCAGGCACAGAGTGCACATTTACAAAGCGGTCTCTCCACTAGGCTCCGTTGTATTTATTTTGAAGGCAGGGTCTTATGTAGCCCAGGCTAGCCCCACTGTATCGCTAAAGAGGACCTAAACCGGATCCTCCCGCTTCAGTTAAATGATGGGTGCAATGGTTCCATTTGTTCCCTCCAGATGCCACTCTGGCTGCCTGTGATAGTCTGTGCTGCATGCTCCTTCCTAGTGCCTCAGTTTCCCCTCTGTAGCTGAGGCTCCTCGAGGCTGTTTCCCACCGCTTTGTGTTGTGTATCTTCAGGCTAGCAGGCTGACCCCTCTAAGGCTGTCTTTTCTTCCCCGCTCCCCTGTGTCCCCACGCCTGTGCACACAGTGAGATCAACCGCCTGGATCTGGGCCTAACAGTGGAGGTGTGGAACAAAGGCCTCATCTGGGACACGATGGTGGGCACAGTGTGGATCCCGCTTCGGACGATTCGCCAGTCCAACGAGGTGAGTGGCAGGTGGAGGAGAGGACCAGCACAGCCCATGGGCCTGCAGTTTAGGGAAGCCACACTCCCCCCCCCCCCCCCCAGTGCTCGGTGTGGGCCACCAAGCAGGTGATTCAAAGTTCGCACCACAGTCTCTCCATTGTGGCTGCACCCACCAGGGGCTCATTCCCCATTAAGGGCCCAACCCAACAAGGGCTCTTTCCCGGCCTTGTGGGTCTGCATTCTAAAATTTGTGTTCCTGGGCTGTGGGCTCCTCAGGAGACAGATTAGTGACCAGGACATCCTGGGGACCTAGCACCACCCACAGTGAATTGATTGATTAATAATCAATAAATGGGTAAATGAGGGAGGGAGCATGCCACGCCATGAGAGCCAGAGCTGGAGGCCCACTGAGGGGACCCCTGATGTTCTCGGGGCCATGCGATAGGAGCCTGCCTGGGAAAGCAGTCACTGCTCTCTGTGGAGCAGAGCGGTGTGAGGGGCTGCTGCACTGAAGCTGCCGCAGGGCGGTGAGGCACTGTGGCTGCTGACAGAAGGGCGAAGTCTCTCACCTGGGAAGTGGGCACAGCCTTTGCTGTCTGGTGAGGAGTAGTAGGTTGAGGAGAGCAACTCAAGAAAGGCCTCTCTGTGTTTCTCTGGAACTGGGCCGTCCCCTTCCCTGCCAGCCCTGACCCCTACCCCATGCCTTCGCCCTTGCCTAGGAGGGTCCAGGAGAGTGGCTGACACTGGACTCTCAGGCCATCATGGCGGACAGTGAGATCTGTGGGACCAAGGACCCCACCTTTCACCGAATCCTTCTGGATGCACATTTTGAGCTGCCCTTGGGTGAGTCCCACGGTGTCACCTGACCCAAGGCCACAGCACCCACTCAGGGTCCTCCCAGTCTCTCCAGGAGCCTCTGGCTTCCCGCCCTCTCCACTTCCACCCATTCCTGGGGTTCCCCAGGCTGCACCCCACACCACTGAGCCAGGGTCCGAGGGAGGGAGGCCAGGTATCCCCAAGCCCAGGGCATGGCGGCTCTGCCTGCAGACATCCCTGAAGAGGAGGCACGCTACTGGGCTAAGAAGCTGGAGCAGCTGAACGCCATGCGAGACCAGGATGAGGTGGGCCAGCTCAAAGCATCTGCTCCCTGCAGTGGGCATCCTGACCCAGGGACTGTCCCATCTTCCCTGCCGGCCCGGGGTGAACCCCTTGGGGGGTTCTCTCCTCTGCACTCAGAGTGCCCCAGTTAAAACCACGGGGTATCCTGGTGGACCGGGAGACACAGCAGAGAACACTCCAGCCCCTTCTCTTGCTCCTCCTTAGCTGCCTTCTCTGTGTCTCTGTTTCCCCATCCCTCTCCATGGCTGTACAAAGTTGGATGTAGTGGGCTTGTCAGGGTGAGCCATGTCCCCACTGTCCCTGACACAATGTCCCCTCCCCAGTACCCCTTCCAGGACCAGTCGGACAAGCCGCTGCCTGTGCCCAGCAGCCAGTGCTGTGAGTACCTATTGCCCTGTAACACTATGGTCACCATGTCTAGTCTAGAGGGTCCTGCCCTGAGGCCTGGCCTGTTTAAGGGACACTGACCTGAACTCCTGGGTTCTGGCCATCCTCCTGCCTCAGCTTTCTGAGCAGCAGTGAGGCACGGCTGAGCTGGGCTGTACCCCGTGCCTGTTCATTGCCGAGGTGGCTCACTGCCCCACTTGGTCCAGCCAGGGTGGGGGGGCCCAAGAGCTATCGAGGGACCCCGTCTCAGATCCTTAGGCTGAGAGGGGGAGGGTGGAGGCACAGCCCCTTGTTTTGTTTTGTTGGGTTTTTTTTGTTTTTTGTTTTTTGTTTTTTTTTGAAGTTCTATGCTGGAGTTGATATGGGGAATGGGGAGGTGCTGACCTGGGTGAACAGTCCAAAGCCTGCCACCACCCCAGGGTGGCAGAGTGGACCCTCCAGAGCCTGCCTTAGCCAGGCGCCTGGACAGAGGCTGGAGTGGAGGGCAGGGCTGGCACTCACTGTGTCTGTTCTCTCATAGGCAACTGGAATTATTTTGGCTGGGGAGAGCAGAGTAAGTAACAAATGCAGAAGTTGTCAGGGAAGTGGGCACCTTGGGAACTCCAAGGACACTCATTGCACTGCCCCCATATGTAATCCCACTCTTCACTTCTGTCTTCATTCCCCTCGTTCTTCTGGAAGATGTCCTGAGTCACACAGATGTGGGAGGGTGGGGCCAGGTGATCAGGAGACCACAGGGCTGCATCCTTGAGAAGACCCCAGTTTGCTAAGTCATTCCCACCCTTGTTTTCCCATAACACCAGCCCAACATGTGTGAGGCAAGGCTGTGCAAACACCAGCCATGCAAAGCAGACACTTTTGGCTACAGTTTCAGTCTAGCTGAAGGTGTTCCTGGTCAAGGGGAAGCTAATAGAGCCCGGAGCAGATGATGCTCTCGAATCCAAAGTGGCTGGAAATGGTGCAGGCACAAGCAGGCAGCCTGGTCAAAAACCATGTGTTGGAGCAAGGCTCAGTGGGTAAAGAAAGGTGAACTCAGCTGGGCAGTGGTGGGACTTTAATCCTGGTACTTGGAAGGCAGAGGCAGCCTGGTCTACAGAGCAAGTTTCAGGACAGCCAGAGGTAAGCATAGAAACCCTGTCCTGAAAAAAAAAGAAAGAAAGAAAAGAAAAGAGAGAGAGAAAGAAGGGGAGAAAGGAAGAAATAAAGAAGGAAGGAAGGAAGGAAGGAAGGGAGGAAAGGAAGAAAGAAAAAGAGAGAGAAAGGTAAGTTTGACATTCTGCCCCTGGCACCCACAGGTAGAAGGTGAGAACTGACTCCCGAAGTATCTGGCTTCCACACATGTGCTGTGTCACATGTGTCCCTACAATCAATACACGCACTGTAATTTTGTCTGTTTTTTGAGACAGGGTCTCTCTGTGTAGCCTTGGCTGTGCTAGAACTTGCTCTGTAGACCGGGTTGGCCTCGAGCTCACAAAGATCTGCTTGCCTCTGCCTCCCGAGTGCTGGGATTAAAGGTGTGCATCATCGTGCCTGACATAATATAATAAATAGTTTCATAAACAATTGGTAGAAAGCAGAGACTCAAATTGGAGTGGCTTTCCTGCCCAAAATAGTGTCTTGTTTAAAAAACTCATAATTTGGTGAACACATAGGGCTTGATCTGAGAACATTTGAACAGGTCTAGGACAGTTTGGGTAAAAGAATGTCGCTTTAGTCAAAGACAAAAAAAAGACAAGACAACACAGTGGAGGAAACTACTGTGAGTGCAGCAAACCGTCCTGTGTGTTGGGGACATTTGCCCAGCGGCCGCCAGAGGGCGCGCTCCGCTGGGAAATGAACGGGAGCTGCTCTGTGAGACCTGAGTCCCCTTCAATGGCACAGGCCTCAATTCAGAAGCTGGGTCCTCGTCCCCTAGGCACAGGGGGTCTTCATCGTCCCAGGCGACAGAGAAGATGCTTCCTTCAGTCCTCCTTCCTTCTAGAGCCTCCTGCGATAGCAGAGGACGGTAGCAGAGGGAGGTAGGTTTAGCCCCGCTGGGTACTCCGTCCATCCTCCCCTTCCTCTTCCCTGCAGACGATGACCCCGACAGTGCGGTGGATGACCGCGACAGTGACTATCGAAGTGAGACTAGCAACAGCATCCCGCCGCCTTACTGCACGACGTCACAGCCCAACGCCTCGGTGCACCAGTACTCCGTGCGCCCTCCGCCGCTGGGGTCCCGGGACTCCTACAGCGACTCCATGCACAGCTATGAGGACTTCTCCGAGCCGCGGGCGCTCAGGTGGCTGGGGGCTGGGGAGTGGCTGGGACCTCACGGAACTGCCAGCCCAAGTTGGGCCCATCTCACAGATCGTTTTCATAATTATGTTTGTTTATTTGGGGGGAGCACTGTGTTATGCCGAGTATTGTGGGGGTTAGACAACAACTTGTTGGCTCCTGCTACTTTGTGGGTCCCGGGCATTGAACTCAGGTCACCAGGCTTCGTGGCAATATTTCGTGGTATAGGGCACCTGTACACACGGAGCCCTATAGTTGGTTCTTGGTGCTCTCTTGTAACACAGGGGCCTTTTGTGTAAGATGAAGGCAGGGGATCAGGAGTTCACAAGTATTCTAGTTATGTAGAGAGCTGAAGCTAGCCTGGGCTACATGAGACCCTGTGTCAGAAAGCCAAAGAAACAAAACAAAAACAAGGCCTAGCTGCCGTTCCTTGTCCTCTTCTAAACGCTCTGGCTCATGTGCTTCTGGCCCTCCCCTCCCAAATGCAGCAGCGATGGCGGCGTGCATGCCAGACCAGGAATGGAGGCCAAGGCCTGTCACAAACTAAGCGAGCGCAAACGCTGGCACCTTCCACACATCTCTGGTGGCGGCTGGGAGGGATGATGGGGAACAGGGTGTATGGGTCCCCTGAGCTTGGCGGTGGGAGGGTGTACAGGCCTAGGAGGCAGTGCAGTGGACTCAGGGCAGAGCCTGCCTGCGTGCTGAGAACAGCATGCTCCTGCTCTGGCCAGTGCTGGCTAGTGCAGCTGCAGAAGGTGGGAGTGGACTGGGATGTGCTGGGGCTGGCAGGGGTCAGGGACATTAGGGAAGGCTTTCTGGATCGTGGCCAGAATCTCCCCCTCAAAGGCCAAGCAAGGCTTCCATGCAGGGTCAGGCATCTTGGCCGGGAGTCAAGGGGCTGGGAAGCATTGGAATGAGTTCAGATTCAGCCTAGAGCCAGTGGGGAAGGATCTTGGTGCCATCAAGTCTCACCCTTAGCAAACAAGCAGAGGAAGCCAAGTCTGGTGGTGGGTGCCCACTCAGTCCTGGGGTGCAGTCTGGAACCGCACCACTAGGGTGTGTGTGTGTGTGTGTGTGTGTGTGTGTGTGTGTGTGTGTGTGCGCGCGCGCACACGCGCGCGCACTGCCCCTTGGTTGGCATACAAATGAAACGTGCCTAACACATGGATTGACAAACAAAGCTTTGAGGGGTTCTCCTATTGGAACGCCACTCTCCAGCGTACTAGGGAAGAGGCCCCAGCAGTATTTAAAATGAGGAACAATAGGGTTTGTTGAATGAGTACTAGAAGGTTCAGTAGTTGGCCACAGGCAGGGACAGGTTATGTCAGAGGTGACCTAGGGTAGACATTAGAAGCTTTTACTAGATGAGACTGGACATGGCAGAGTGTCAGGGACTGCAGGGAAGGGAGTGGGTGCTGAGGCCAGGACTGTTGAGTTGGCTGAGTACAGGGCAGAGGAAGGGTCTGAGTGTTTCAGTCAAGCCACTTACATTTGGTGCGTGGGCACAACAGGTGCTCAATTCATGCCAAGCAGGTGCCTGACTCACGTGCTCTGTGTTCCTGGTGTCTTAAGCAGGATAAGCCATGACAGGCACATCTGTGGCTGGTAGGGTGGGTCTGTGTTCCCAGAGGGGAAGGGAATGAGCCAGGAGGTGCCCAACCATGAGGAGCAGCTGTGCAGCCCGCAGTAGCAAACACAGCATAGGCACCCAGTCCATGCTGAGCCACCCTGGCTGACCGTGTGTGCGCAGGGTTGGCAGTGTGGCCCAGGTCTGACCGCTTCTCCACAGCCCCACAGGCAGCAGCCGCTATGCATCCTCCGGGGAGCTGAGCCAGGGCAGTTCTCAGCTGAGCGAGGACTTTGACCCGGATGAGCACAGCCTGCAGGGCTCAGAGCTGGATGAGGAACGCGACCACGACTCCTACCACTCCTGTCACAGCTCCGTGAGCTACCACAAAGATTCTCCCCGCTGGGACCAGGACGATGAGGACCTGGAGGACCTGGAGGACCTAGAAGATGAAGAGCTACCTGAGGAGGAGGACGAGGAAGAGGAGGAGGAGGAAGAAGAGGAGGATGTGCCAGATGACCTGGCTAGCTATGCCCAGCAGGAGGACACCACTGTGGCCGAGCCAAAGGAGTTCAAGCGGGTCAGCCTTCCGCTGGCCACGCCTCAGAAGGATGACAAGGCTCCAGCTGCACCCACAGAGGCCCCTGATATGGCCAAGAGCGTCCCCAAAGCGGCCACACCTGAAGAGATGGCAGCTGTAGAGCGTGCGCAGGAAGCTGAGCCCCCCAAGTCTGAGGAGAGGTATCTGGAGGGACTGAGGTGCGGGGCCTCCATCAGACAGCTCTGTGGGCTTCAGACAGCAGCAGCTCGAGAGCGGGAGGCTGGGATCCCACAGAACCGTTCTGAGCTACTGCCTGCCTTCCCTGGCCTAGTTTCAGGTCTCGAGAGGATGAGGAGGGCCAGGAAGGGCAGGATGCCATGTCCAGGGCCAAAGCCAACTGGCTGCGAGCCTTCAACAAGGTGCGCATGCAGCTGCAGGAGGTGAGTGACACTCAGTCCGTGACCACGCCTTTCTGTGGCCACCATAAAGCCACGCCCACCAAGAACTTCCCATCTTCCCACACACCCGCAAGAGCATGCTTAACCCCCACCCCTCCTCAACATCATGTCCTTCATTTCACTCATACCCAACACGGCAAGAACACACCCAGCAAAGACCTTACCCTCACACTCAACAAGACCACGCCCATACCCAGCTAGGACCACGCCCACTCACACTCCGGGCCCTCCCATCCAGTAAGAGCATGCCCACCCCCACCCAGTAAAGCCACACCCATCACCCAACCACCTGCAGGGAGCAAAGACCACGCCCTTCCTAAGCAAGACCACGCCCTTCAGCTCTGTGGCCTCTTTGTAGATAGGTGTGAGGATCCTGCCTTGACTCTCTTGATCCTGTGGCTCACACGCAGGTCCCGATGGCCCAGCCCAGGCTCCCTCATGGAAATGTGGACTTTCTAGATCCAGAGTGTCCAGAATTGGAGGCCTGAGACAGGAGAAACCATATAAGGGGTGAATGTCATAGGTAAAGACCAAAGTCAGGGCAGCAGCGGAAGGTCAGAGGTCAGTGTTGTGTGGCAGAGTCACCACCACCTGCAGGAAGAGTGACAGGATGAAGCTGGAGGTCGCAGTGAGTCTTCAGAAGGCTTCTGGTCCCGGCTGTGCACAGAGCCCTGCTGATTGGGGTGACCGTGCAAAGCGGGCTGGAGCATCAGGAAGCAGGACGCTGGAGCATCCAGCCAGACTTCTTATCCACTAAAGAACAGAAGCTAAGGAGAGGTGGCTCAGCATCTGGCTGCTCCTGCAGAGGACCCAGGTTCAGTTCCAAGCACCCACGCGGTGGCTCCCAGCTTCCTGTAACTCCAGCTCAAAAGGGCTTGACAGCCTCTTCTGGCCTCTGTGGGCACCACACACACGGTGCATAAACACATATGCAAGCAAAACATTCATACATGTAAAAAATGATCGTAATAAAAAGTGTTAAAAGAGTAAAGCTATTTAGCTGGATGTGATGGCCCAAGGCTGTCATGCCAGCACTTCAGAGGCCGAGGTGAGGGCAATTGCAGTTCAAGGCCAGCTGGGGCTACAAAGCAAGATCTGGTAAAAACAAACAAACAAATAAAGACAGAGCCCGCCGAGGCTGTCGGAGGCCGTTCAGGTTGCAGAGGCTGTGTGACAGAGGCACCCTGCCTCTTGCAGCCTGTGTCATAGGCGAGGGCACACAGTGAGGAGGAGGTTCCCCACCCCTGTGGGAGGCAGATGGGGTGACCAGTGTTTCTGTCTTCTGTCTGTTTTGCAGGCACGAGGAGAAGGCGAGATGTCCAAGTCTCTATGGTTCAAAGGCGGGTGCGTAGAACGTGCTGGTTAAAAGGGATGTTCTAAACCCAGAGCTTATGGGCAGTTTACACCTGTCACTCAGTAGGACTATGGTGGAGTGTCAGGAGGATTCCGTCCTGATAGGAGAAAGTTCTTTCTCCTGACGGTTTTACCCTCAGCCTGTGGGGAGGCTAGGGGCCCTGCCCTCCCTCGGGTGATGGGTGTAAGGTCGGAGCACAGGCTCAGCATGCCCTGTGTCTTGCAGCCCTGGTGGTGGCCTCATCATCATTGACAGCATGCCAGACATCCGGAAGCGGAAGCCCATTCCCCTCGTGAGCGACCTGGTGAGCAGCAATATGCTCCCACTCTGAGTGGGACTGCTGTGAGCAGGGTGCAACCTGCACAACTGCCCACGGCGGTCCTGAGGCTGGGGACTGCCCGGGCAGGCTGTGGGACTAATGTACCCTGATTTCCACCCCATGCATCCTGGACCTCAGGCAATGGTGAGTGATGGTAGCAATGTGTGTGTGTCCCCAGACACCCACCTTTCAGCTGCTCCCCTCCCCGTGTGGGTATCAAGATTTGGGGTAAGAAGATCAGGTGTCCGAATGCTGCTCGCTCGCTACCTTGATTCGCTATCCAGCTGAGAGTTTTGCTCAACTGGAGTCTCCCAAGTCCCGCCTTTGGGGTGTGGGAAATTCACCTCTCAGGATTCCTTCTGACCCAGTGCCCCCAACCTGGTCAGCACTCCCACTCCCCCTGCGCCGCAACCTTCCCCGTGCGGCCTTCCTGTGCGGCACTCACGGGAGACCTTCCTGCCACAGTCACTGGTCCAGTCGCGGAAGGCGGGCATCACCTCAGCCTTGGCCTCTAGCACACTGAACAACGAGGAACTGGTGAGTGGGAGTTCTGGAAGTGGCCCCGCGGTGGTATAGAAGCAGGGGGCGCTGGGTTTCCGGGACAATCACGACCCACGCGGCCCTCGTTCCCTGCAGAAAAACCACGTTTACAAGAAGACCTTGCAAGCCTTAATCTACCCCATCTCCTGCACCACCCCGCACAACTTCGAGGTGTGGACGGCCACCACGCCCACCTACTGCTATGAGTGCGAGGGGCTGCTGTGGGGCATCGCTCGGCAGGGCATGCGCTGCACGGAGTGTGGCGTGAAGTGCCATGAGAAGTGCCAGGACCTGCTCAACGCGGACTGCCTGCAGCGTGAGGGGCGGGGCCAGGCGGGGAGGGGCGGGGCTGAGACGGGTGGGCAGGGCCGGACTCAATCAGTCTCAACCCGGCCAAAGAGCCGGTAGGGGCCCAGACAGGAGGGGCAAGGCCAGGCTGGAGGGGCCAGGTCGAGAGAGCTGAACTGTGTCGTCAGCTTGGGTGACTGAGCTGAGGGCAGTGGATGGACTGTGATGGGCAAATTCAGGGCACGTCAAGGCTGGCTGCAGCAGCTTAGAATGGGGTTGCCACTAGCACGAGGAGCCTGAGGCAAGGCAATGGGATGGTTATGTGGGCAGAGCTTAGGCGCGGGGCGGGGCTCTTCAGGGGTTATGCGAAGCAGTTCTCAATATGTGGGGCGTGACCTCTTCGGAGGGTCACATATCAGGTATGTATCAGACATGTCATATATACTGTTAACGATCGTAATAGTCGCAGACTTAGAGTTATGAAGTAGCATCGAGATAATTTTATGGTTGGGGTCAAGAGGAACTGTATTAAGGGGTTGCAGCATTGGGAATGTTGAGAACTTTATGTGCTGGGACAGGAGAAGGGGGCTTAGGACTGCAGTAGTGAGTAGAGGCAGCCGGTACTGATCTATGCAGGGGCTTTCAGTGAGAAAGACATGTGACAACTCTGCCTTGGAGAAAGGAGGTCCTCGTGAGGAACAGCAAAGTGCTGGTGGTCTAACAGGGCAGGGCTTGAGGAAAGACGCCCATCTGGCAGGAAGGCTGTGGGTGAACCAGCTCAGACAAGATGATGGGTCAGTGACGGGAGAGGAAGGCAAGGCTCCAGGGGGTAGGGCCTCCGACAGGGTGTGGCCTCGAGGGTGTGGCTTGGAGGGGCGTGTCTCAGTGGGCTGTGCCTTCAGGTGGCCTTAGATACTAGGATTGTAGGTGGGCGGAGACTCCGTGTAGGTGTGACCCACCTTGATGCCTGGGGCAGGGAATTCAGATTGTGAGAAGAGGGAGAGGCCTAGGATGGGGCCCAGAGGTGGGCAGAGACTGGGGTGCCAGAGGCTCAAGGGACTTGGCTATGGGAGGGCAGGGGACTTTGGGGGCGTGGCAGGAGGCGGGCCCTGTGGGGATGGCCTGGGCTGGAGGGTTGAAGGCAAACAGCAGGACACCAAGGCCAGGTGCATCTGCGACGGCAGGGGCGGCAGAAAAGAGTTCCAAACATGGCGCCGAAGACCGCACGCAGAACATCATCATGGTGCTGAAGGACCGCATGAAGATCCGCGAGCGCAACAAGCCTGAGATCTTTGAGCTGATCCAAGAGATCTTCGCTGTCACCAAGAGCGCGCACACACAGCAGATGAAGGCCGTCAAGCAGAGCGTGCTGGATGGCACGTCCAAGTGGTCAGCCAAAATAAGCATCACAGGTGCGAGTGCGCAGACAGCCCTGGGGAGAGCCGAGGGATGCGTGCAACCGAAGGAGGGGTCCAGCTTGAGGACCTCAGGGAAGCCGCTTCTAACATGCATTCGAGAGTGGTCCCACCTGTGGTACATAAGTGGGTGGAGAGGTGACTGGGTGGATGGATGATGGCTGGGTGGCTGCACAGATGGATGGGGTCTGAAGGCTTGGATGTGTGAGTGGATGGATGGGTGGCTGGGTGACAAGCGAGAGCTGAGTGGGTGCGAGGGTGGTTGCCTGGGTAGGAGGTCAGATACTACATATATCAATGGATGGACAGGTGGATGACAGGAGGGAGGGATGGCGGAGGAAGACTGCATGGGCTAAGGCTGTGGCTGGCCCGGGTCCCGGGTCTCCTGGGGCATGTGGTAGTGGCTTCTCTTGAAAAGTCCCCATCTTGGACTCACATTTGTGTGCTGTGTGTCTTTCAGTGGTCTGTGCCCAGGGCTTGCAAGCCAAGGATAAGACAGGGTCCAGTGACCCTTATGTCACTGTCCAGGTTGGAAAGACCAAGAAAAGAACAAAAACCATCTATGGGAACCTCAACCCGGTGTGGGAAGAGAATTTCCACTTGTGAGTGCCTGGCCCAGCTACAAACTAGGCTCGATTCTGGGTCAAGTTCCAGGCCTGTGAAGCTGGACAGTTGCCTGATGCCTGCCCTTCCATCTGATCCCCACACAGCGAGTGTCACAACTCCTCTGACCGGATCAAAGTGCGTGTCTGGGATGAAGACGACGATATCAAATCCCGAGTGAAGCAGAGGTTTAAGAGGGAGTCTGACGACTTCCTAGGTCAGACCATCATCGAGGTTCGGACTCTTAGCGGCGAGATGGATGTGTGGTACAATCTGGGTGAGTGAGGGGAGGACTCGGGGGGCTGCAGAGCTTCAGATGCTTCAGAACAGACATGGCTGCCCGGGAACCTTCTGACAACCCCCCAACCCACAGACAAGAGAACAGACAAGTCTGCTGTGTCAGGTGCCATTCGGCTTCACATCAGTGTGGAGATCAAAGGGGAGGAGAAGGTGGCGCCCTACCATGTCCAGTATACCTGTCTACATGAGGTGAGCTCCTCCGTGCCAGGAGGCATACAGTTGGCTCCTTCGGCACCATGCGTACCTCCCTTCACCTTGGACACACTGTGCACCTCGGGTGGTCCCTCACATGGTCCCCAACCCGAGAGACCACCACACACGCATCAAAGCCCAGCTCCAGGGTCCCCTCTCGTGGACCTCCAGGCCGGCTCTCAAGGCTCTACTGCTCCTGCCTGGTCTTATGGAAAGAATCTGTCCCTGACTGGAGCATCCCAATGTATGGACTACTAAATGGTTGAACTACTAAATGGAGGAACAAAAAATAAGACCAATGGACTCAGGGAGCAGATTGGGGTGTGGCTGAGGGAGTGGGTGGGTGACAGAGAGTGGATGATGGAGAGTTAATAATCTCTAGAAATAGACTGAGTGCTTGGGAGGGGGTTGTGCGCCAGTTAGGTTCATGGAAAAGTGGATGATGTATTTTTTGGGAATACAGACAATGGATAATATTTGTGGGATAGCCAGATGGATGGGTGGGTGGACGGACAGGGGTTGTGGGAGGGTGTGTCTGTGGCTAAGGAGGGTGGATGTGGCTAAGGAGGGTGGATGTGGGCACACATGAAGCCCAGGTGTAGTGGAGGATGATGGGTGATAGTGATGGGTGAGTGACTGGAAGGATGTGTGATGGGAGTTGTCCTCCAGGACCCTTCCTCACTCCTGATGCTGTGTCCCCGTGCAGAACCTGTTCCACTTTGTAACGGATGTGCAGAACAATGGCGTGGTGAAGATCCCTGATGCCAAGGGTGACGACGCCTGGAAGGTTTACTATGATGAGACGGCCCAGGAAATCGTGGATGAGTTCGCCATGCGCTATGGCGTGGAGTCCATCTACCAAGCCATGACGTGAGGGCACAGTGGGTGGGTGGGTGGGTGCCTGGAGTGACACTGGAAGGCCTGGAGAGGGAGGCGTATGCGCCACCCCCAGGAGTTATCAGGGTGCTGTTATTGGAAGCCAGTGTGAGGCAGAGAAGTGGCAGCTTAGACAGATGGGGTGGCACACACTTGGGACATGGGCGCTTGGGGATGGAACAGTGGCATTTGGAAGTGGAACACTCATTCTTGGCTACATACTACATTTGAAACCAGCCTGAGTGACATGAGACCCTGTCTCAAAAAATAAATTAAAAAACATGGAAGAGAGGACACAGAGGACTGAGCCAGGCTGAGGGAAAGGAAAGTGGGAGTCGGAGCCAATTCCCAGATGGTATGTTGGAGTTCTGGGGACCCCACAGTCTTGGTCCCCAGACCCAGAGCCTCCTGCTCTCACTTGCCAGCCACTTTGCCTGCCTCTCCTCCAAGTATATGTGCCCCGGGGTACCTGCAGTCATGAGCACGCTGCTTGCCAACATCAACGCCTACTACGCACACACCACCGCCTCCGCCAACGTGTCTGCTTCCGACCGCTTCGCTGCCTCCAACTTCGGGGTCAGTCTCAGGGGTCAGTCTGCCGGGGTGGGCAGACTTCCTTAGCCCGCAGTAGGGCCTCTGTGTGCCCCTGTCCAGTGTCTGCCTGTCTCAGAGCCTCACTCTGCTCTTTGTAGAATGGACTTGGACATTATGAGTGGCTAAAGTGCCAGGCGGTGTGGGTGCACTGTTTTAATCCCAGCACCTGGGAGGCAGAGGCAGGTGGATCTCTGAGTTCAAGACCGGCCTGGTCTACAGAACAAGTGCCAGGACAGGCAGGATTACAGACAAAGAAACTCTGTCTTGCCCCCCCCCCCAAATAAAGTGAGGAGAGTGCTTGAAGCTCTTCTCTAGGATAAATGAGGCTCTTGGTTCTAAGCCTAGCACCATGAAAACCAGTCATGGTAACTTAGATGCTTGTCACCCCAGCTCTCAGCAGGCCACGGCAGGAAGATCTCTAGGCCCTGGCCAGCCTGAGCCGTACAGACCCAGTGTCAAAAAGCTAGAAGGAAAGGGGGTCTGGTTGGGTGGTGATTCTCAGGGTTAGGGAGCACTCAACCAGCTCAGCAGCCAATGTTCAGTGGTATCACTGGCCCGGCCCCGCCTCCCCCCTCCCATCTTCCACTCAGAAAGAGCGCTTTGTGAAACTTCTGGACCAGCTGCACAACTCCCTGCGGATAGACCTGTCCATGTACCGGGTAAGATGCCCTTGTGTCCGAGTCGCTGTCCCTGGAGCACATGTCCCTGTGGGGACAGTCACCCGGAGAGAGGGCCGGCGACTAGTGTAGTCTGCATGTGCTCCCGTGGCCACATGCAAACAGCCCCTGCCCACCGGGGACGGCCCTGTCCTCATCTGACCAACCACCCGGTCCCAACAGAACAACTTCCCGGCCAGCAGCCCCGAGCGGCTGCAGGACCTCAAGTCCACGGTGGATCTTCTCACCAGCATCACCTTCTTCCGCATGAAGGTGAGTGTTCCAACGGCACGCCCTACTGTCCTCATGCAGCCATGTGAAGGGGCCTTGACCGTGGCCACTGCTACAGCGCTCCCTTGAGTGCACGGTGGGAGCCAGCAACACGGTGCGGTGGTTAAAGGTGCTTGTCACCAAGCCTGACTATGTGAGCTCAATCCCCTGGACCAGCAGAGAACTGACTCCACAGGTTGTCCTCCAACCTCCCAATGTGCAAGGAACACACACCAACCCCCCATGTATGCTAAAAATGTGTGTGATTAAAATTATCTAGGTGTGGTGGCAAACACTTTCAGTACCAGCCCTTGGGAAGCAGAGCCAAGGCATCTCTGGGAGGCCAGGGCCAGCCTGGCTCACACAGCGAGAGAAACACTGGGAAAACCCAGCAGTCGTCAACAGCTTACACCCTGAGTGTCAAGGTCTTAGCCCCCTCACCTGACCGGTCTCTGCTCTCAGGTCCAGGAGCTGCAGAGCCCGCCGCGCGCCAGCCAGGTGGTAAAGGACTGCGTGAAGGCCTGCCTCAACTCCACCTATGAGTACATCTTCAACAACTGCCATGAGCTCTACGGTCGAGAGTACCAGACAGACCCGGTAAGGGCCTGGATGGAAATCCCTGCACAGGCACCTGGGGCCACATCGTCCTCAGACCTTCAGTGCTTTCTTCTGGAGGCCATGTGTCAGGACTGTGGGATGATCTGAAGAAGATACAAAGCATTTGGTGCTGTCCAGTGAAGGACTTAGCATTGAGTACTCAGTAGGCACTTATTGATGTGCTTGTTGAGTTTGGGTTAAAGCCTCAAGACCAGTGGATGATCTCCATTTTCAAAGTTCAGGGAGAGATGGCTCAGTGGTTAAGAGCATGTACTGCTCTTCGAGAGGACCTGAGTTCGATTCTTAGCGCCCATGATGGTGGCCTCCTGGGGCCACATGCATGTGGTGTTCATGCAGATGAGCAGACATATTCATAAAGCAAATCTTTCAAAAAGAAATGGTGTAGAGCTGGTGGGAGGGCTGTTGTAGGGCCAAGCCTGTTCCCTGTGCTCTGTCTCTGGGTCGGTGAGACATGTATGCCAGCCTGGACTACACCTCACATCTCTGTCTCAGAAAGAAGATATTGGCTTGGGTTGAATTTCTTTTAATTTTCCTCTGTTTCTTACTTTGTTTGAAATGAGGGTGTCCTCTCAGGTAGCCTAGGTTGGCTCCAGCGCCTGTAGTGTGTGTGTGTGTGTGTGTGTGTGTGTGTGTGTGTGTGTGTGTGTAGCCGGCTGCCTCTATGCCCTGCACCTGCCAGCTCACCCAGTGTTTGCTCTTTGTAGCACGAGGCAAGCAGTGCCAGGCTCCCCACTCCTCCCGCCCTAACTTCTAAGCATCGTCTCCTCTGCTCATTTCAGGCCAAGAAGGGGGAGGTTCCCCCAGAGGAGCAGGGTCCCAGCATCAAGAACCTAGACTTCTGGTCCAAGTTGATCACTCTCATCGTTTCCATCATTGAGGAGGATAAGAACTCCTACACACCCTGCCTCAACCAGTGGGTACCAGAGGGCCGGGCGGGTCCCGGGCAGTTCGTAAGGGCTCTTTGCACAGAATGGCTATATCTGAAAGCTCATGTGTGTGTGAGATCCCCCCCCCCATTGGTTGACTTTCTTTTTGCTTTTTTTTGAGGTAGGGTTTCCATAAAGCTGACCCTACACTCACTCTGTAGCCCAGGTTGGCCCTTAACTTGAGATCTCCCTGCCTTGGTTTCCTGAGAAGCTGGGAAGACAGACCTGAACCACAGGTCCACCTGTGGAATTTAGAGTCTGATTCCAGGAGTTTAACTGTGTTTACAACTGGGGCATGACCTTTACATTTTTTATGAACTAACATTTATTTTGCTTATTTTGTAAATTTTATCGCATGCTTTTGGGTGTTGTGCTGCATGTGCCTGTGAACATGTTTGTGCCTGGTACCTGCCGAGTGAGCTTTATTGGATGGAGAGAGAGAGGAGAGAGCAAGACGTGATGGGGGAGGGGAGGGGACACCCCAACAGAGAAAGGGGAGAGAGCAGGAGAGAGGAAGAGAGTGAAAGAGCAAGGCAAGAGCAAGAGAGAAAAAGTGGCAGGTGGGTCCATCTACAGCCTCTCCCTGGCAGGTGACTCATGATGGCATCATGGGTTACTAGGTAACCCAGAAGCAGGCTGCTTAAATACTCACAGGGAGGACACTTGCGGCGTTAGATCCCTGGAACTGCAGTTACAAATGGTTGTGAGCTGTCATGTGGGTGATGGGAATCAAAGCTGAGGTGTGTGTGTGTGTGTGTGTGTGTATTATCTGTGGAGGTCCCAGGACATGTGGGAGTTGGTTCTCTCCCTCCACCATGTGGATTCTAAGGATTGAACTTTGGTCTTCAGGCTTGGTGGCCACCGAGCCCTCCCACTGGCTGAGAAATAAACTTTAATACAGAGTGTTGTAGCTAGCTCAGAGTGCACACCTGCAGTCCTAGCTGCTCCGCCTACGCCCAGGAGTGATAGTGGCCTTGGCAAGATGGAGGAACCTTGTTTCAGAAGCAAATCACACACCATTTTATACAATGTGCAGCCCCGTGCATCGCCCAGTGTTGTGCACTGTGCGACTGTGTGGGAATGTGACCACAGCTTGTGACAGACTGGCCTCTGTGGGAAATAGTTATCAAGTAGTTAAAGGAGCCATTGAGTCAATTTCTTTCAAAGGGAGCACTGGAGTGAGGGAGGGAGCAAATAACTGTTTGCTTAGGCGTGGAGTTAAGAGCAGGTGTTTACACAGATGGGTGAAAGGGAGGGTAGGAGGATGGGTGGCAGCCTGGCGGCGGCTGAGTCAACAGCTAATTAGCTGGTTAGCGTGAGCGACAGGGCGGCAGATTCCCTGGAGGCTGATGGGCTAGCCTGGCCTTCCCCAGGTTTCCCCAGGAGCTGAATGTGGGGAAGATCAGCGCTGAGGTGATGTGGAGCCTGTTTGCCCAGGACATGAAGTATGCCATGGAGGGTGAGTCTCTGGGCCCAGACAGGTGGCAGCAGCTGCTCGCAGCAGGCCTCCTGGATGAGCCTGTGTCCCTCCTGGCAGAGCATGACAGACACCGGCTGTGCAAGAGCGCTGACTACATGAACCTGCACTTCAAGGTCAAGTGGCTGTACAATGAGTACGTGGCGGAGCTGCCCGCCTTTGAAAACCGCGTGCCCGAGTACCCTGCGTAAGTCTCATCAGGCCTGGGGAAGTAGCTGCAGCGCATGCTCAGGGGCTCAGGCAGGAAGGACGGCATCATGTTGAAACAAGCTGTAATTGAAATATTTTCAGTCTCTGAAGGCTAAAAGCTCCCTCCTCCTCCCTCCTCCTATTCCTAAAACTCAGGTACACAGTGAGTTTGAGGGTAGCCTGGGCTACATCAACTCCAAATTTAAGTAACCATATTAAAGAAACTCTACCCAAACTGAAGTGACCGAAACCCATTGGGGAATGAAAGCCAGGGACAGAACGCAGGTCACCATATCCTGAGAGCTGGGATTAAAGCCTGCACCCCAGCAGCAGGTCAGAAGCAGGCCCAGCAGACAGGGGGTGGGGGTGGGGGCGAGCAGAGCTAGCCACGTCCGGAGAGGTGTCCCAGCTGACCTGTCCTTTTGCAGGTGGTTTGAACCCTTTGTCATCCAGTGGTTGGATGAGAATGAGGAGGTGTCCCGAGACTTCCTGCACGGAGCGCTGGAGCGGGACAAGAAGGACGGTGTAAGGAGGCCATGGGTGGTGCCTGCTTGTGGGTGGACTTCGCTATGACTGCATCGGTGGTGGGGTGTGAGGCCGTCCCTCGCGGCTTCCGCCCTCCTGTGGCCTGGGCCGCCCCTCCCTGAGCCAGGCTGACAACACGGCCCTCTCCGTACAGTTCCAGCAGACATCGGAGCACGCCCTGTTCTCCTGCTCAGTGGTCGACGTCTTCTCCCAGCTCAACCAGAGCTTCGAGATCATAAAAAAGCTGGAGTGTCCTGACCCCCAGATTGTGGGCCACTACATGAGGCGCTTCGCCAAGGTGCGGCCTGGAGAGCCTGGAAACAGGGTGGGGCCTGAGGCGGGGGGTGGGGGTGGGTGGGTGGGGAACCTGGCGTGGAGACCAGGTAGAGTGATGGTGAGGCCGCTGAAGGTGGAGTTAGGTTGCTCTCAGGGCTGGAGATGAGGGCACTTTGGGAAGGTTGGAGTTGGTATGGAAGCTGAGGCGTGGGATCCAGCTGAGCAGGGAAGCATTGCTCTGGTGCGCCCAAGGCCTGCTACATCCCCAGCACCGCAAAATGAAAAGCAAAATGGGAAAAATGAGTTCCCGACCACTCTAGGAAAAGCAAAAAGTTGAGGAGTGTCAGTGAGATGAGCCAGTGAGTGAAGGAGCTTGCCACCAAGCCTGGCGACCTGAGTTCAATCCCTGGGATCTACAGGGTGGAAGGAGCGAACGGACTCCTGCAAGTCTGTCCTACACAGGCACACACACCTGACACACACAACCTAAATTTTAAAAATCTCTGTTGGGGGGTGGGCTGAGAGGCTGAGCGTGTAGCTCAGTAGTGGAGAGAGTGCCTGGTGTGTGCAAGGCCCAGGTCTCATCCCTGAACTACATAAAGAAAAAGTAAACAAAATAAAAGCGGACAATTATCAACTCCAAGGAAATCAGAAAGCTGGGAAGCAAATGTTTCGGGTCAGTGCTGTGGGTTAGGTTCTGACTGGCTGTGGGCCTCCAGTGAGGGTCTCACACGAGACAGAGCTGGTGCCTTGTTCACAATTTTGTTGCAAATGACCATATCTTCCACAATTAAAGCACTGGGTATTTTGAGATCTTAGACCTTTATTACCTTGGTCACAGTCTTTTTGCAAATAATCATATTTTCCTCAATTGAAGCACTGGACATTTTGATATCAGAGACCTCTGTCTGTAGCTTGACCTATGATATTAACATACCACACACTAGAATGAGTCATATCCCTTATCCACGTGTCCAGGGGGCTGCTCACACCTTCAACGGTCTAATCAGTTTCTTACACTCTGTATTTGCATTTTCATATGCCGGGGTCTCTATCAGTACCTGTCTTGGGTCAGGGTCTGATACGGCTTTATTCACTGCTGAGACTCTTTGTAAAAACTCATTGAAGGCTTCTGCAGAGCGTTGTATAGTGTTTGTAAATGAGGTGGACCTTTACCTGGGGTGTTCAACTTTCTCCCAAGCTCTTAAAGCCACTAAGTGACGTTGTTCTATAGTAACATCATCAAATTTAATCTGTTCTCGTATACCAGAGTAACACTCTTCATCCAGCAACTGAACTTTTACTGTATTCATTCTCCTTGCTTTATTTTGCTGTTCAGTATTTGTGGCTTCTTCCCTCCTCTATGTTCACCATTGCAATTGTGGGCCAGCATCTAGTACAGCTGTAACCAATCCCTTCTGGTCTTGGGGACTAATTCTAATTCCAGTTATTTAGAATTTGTTTCACTTAAGGTGAGCGCATCCCATATGAAAGCATATGGAGCTATCATTTTTATAGGATGCCAACCTATGTTGACCTAACCTTGTTCCACACCATTAGCAGGCATATGCTGTATGACTAACTGGGAAAGATGATGGTAATTTATAACCCTGGGCCACTCCTCCTGAGTCTGGTGGTGCAGTGGGTTCAATTTTAACTCTTTTTTTGAAATGGTCTGTTTCATCAGATTGTCCTCCAGCTTTTTCAGCTTTTCTCTTATTCAGCCACCCACTGGAACAGTTTCTTTCTCTCTGCAGGGTCCTCCTGTTCTCTCACTCAGTCACTGTAACTGAGCCTTTTTGTTATCTCTCTTCACAAGTGCTTCCACCTCCTCCTGCAGCCTCTCCAGTTGCACTGCCAACTCTGAAAACCATTCAGAAACAAGAGAGAGGAGTGACTCCTTTTGTTTTCACACTTCAGCCATTTTTGTTTTTCAGGCTCCTCTATTTCCACCTGTAATCCTTCCAACTGCTCAGCCAGTTTTAAACCTTTTTTGGAAACAGTATGTACAACAACAAAAAGATAAAGAAAAAAAACAGACACCCCCCCCACACACAGCAGATCAGGGAAACTCTAGCAGTAACAACTGCAATAATGTTTTTGTCTCTGGCCTCATGAAAGAAAAAAAAAAACAAAAAACAAAACAAAACAAAAAACAACAACAAAACAAAACAAAACAAAACAAAAAAAACTCCATTCCTTTCCCCCCTGTCATTTTCTCTATGGTATTTGAAATCAAATTTTCCATTTTTATCCATAACTTCTGAGCCGCATGTTGGACGCCAATTGCTACTTTGTGGCTTTTTCTTTTTCACACCTTTTAACCCTCCTTTCTGCTTTCACCCTCTAACACTAGATAGGAGAAAAACAAGAAAAGAGGGGAGAGAGGAAAACCCCTGAATCTGATTTCTTTTCTTTTGTTTCTGTTTTGACCATGGCTACTAATAAACCCCAGCTCACCCGCTAAGTGACCATCAACCACCAACCCTCCTTGTGGGGCTCTAGCATTTATAGACCCTCTGAAAAGGTCCCAGATTTTCAAATGTCACACAATGAAGAGACTATCTGCAGCTGGCAAACCCACAGCTCTACTAGAGCACGAGGCAAATCATAGTCAGCTGCTGCAGACAGTCCGAAGCGGCCTTATGTACCACATCTGGGATTACAACAAAATAGAGTCTTCTAATTCTCTCTCTCTCTCTCTCTCTCTCTCTCTCTCTCTCTCTCTCTCTCTTTCTCTGAAACTCTCTCTGTAGACCAGGCTGGCCTTGAACTCAGAAATCTACCTGTGTATGCCTTCCAAGTGCTGAGATTAATGATGTCTGCCACCACTGCCCAGTCACAGTCTTATAATATTTTGTGTTTTCAAAGAAGCCAAAATTCCAGTTGTCACTACAAGTTGGTGTGCAGAAAACAGCCTTCTCATGGAGTGAGGTCTTCTCTGTGACCTCCTGGTCATCTGGGATAGACAACTGTCCAGCCTGTTGACCACCCCACAGGCTGTACAGCACAAAGTCACTGTCATGTGTGTGTGGTGTGCAGGGTCACGTGGCTGCAGCGTCCTCTCATTCTCTCTGTTTCAGACCATCAGCAATGTGCTGCTCCAGTATGCCGACATTGTTTCCAAGGACTTCGCCTCCTACTGCTCCAAGGAGAAGGAGAAAGTGGTGACCTGGGGCGCCTGCCCGCCCACCCCTCCTGGCCCCACTCAGCTTCCCTCAGGGTCCAGGGCTCCCCTTCTACCCCAGGCTCTGATATGAGGCTTCAGACAACAAGCTCGCCTGAGGGGACATGTGTCTGCGGGACCATGTGTGCTTGTGTGTGCCTTGTGTTGACCTGTCTGTCTGTGTCTGATTGTGTGGGGTTTGTTGGTGGTAGAGGTTACTTGTTTGTTTGCGTTTTTGAGACAAGCTCTCAAAATGGAGCCCAGACTGGCTTTGAGCTCCCATGCAGCCTAGGTTAGCCTCAATCTTGCTATGTAGGCTAAGGTGGCCTCCAGTTTCCTGCGTAGCCCAGCCTGGCCTTGAACTTGCCATGTATTTGCCAGCTAGCTATGTAGCCCAGGTAGCTTCAAACTGGCTACATAGCCCAGGCTTGCCTTGACTCCTTGACTCTACCTTCTGATTCTGGGGTGACAGCTGTGTACCTCTGTGCCCAGCTCTCTGTTATGATATAGTCATGTTGACGACTGGGTCACAAGTGTGGTCATGTCTGTGAGTCTGGGGGAGTTCTGTATGTGCACAAGGGTGAGGATATGCTTCCCCAGATGTCATGCATGGTTTCCAGTGGAGCTTAGGGTGTAACTCAGCAGTGTCTGCAGAGGCAGGAGGATCACAAGGACTCCTCTCCATCCCTCTTTGGCCTTTCCCTCCCAGGGGGATGTTCCTGCATGGCCCCCCATCTGGCCCAAGGGACCCTCTCTCCAGCTCATGCATGTTTAGGGCTACTGCCTCCCATGCCCTAGGGGACCCTAGATTCCTGATGCCCAGGAGGTGATGGGGGTCACCAGCCTGACTTTTGCTCTTCCCAGCCCTGCATCCTCATGAACAACACACAGCAGCTACGAGTGCAACTGGAAAAGATGTTTGAGGCAATGGGTGGGAAGGAGGTGAGTGCCAGGGTGGGTTTCGGAGGGGCTCACTCTGTTACCCCATCCCTGAGGTCACGGACAGCATGGGTGTGAACTGCAGATCTACCAGGGATGTTTGGCTGCCTGTGTCCAGTTGCTTCCCTATCCCCTTAGACACTTCCCTGGCGCCATGAGAAAGCAGGGGTGTTATGACCTTTCTCCCCTCAGCTGGATGCAGAGGCCAGTGGCACCCTAAAGGAGCTGCAGGTGAAACTGAACAACGTCCTGGATGAGCTCAGTCACGTGTTTGCCACCAGGTGGGGCCATCTCGGGGTGGGACATGTGAGCAGGGACAACTCAAGTCTTGGGCATCTCATGGTCCTGTCATACCGGGGGCGGAGTTAAGTTAGGGGAATTGGTCACTCAGACACAACTGCCCCAAAGCCTGGCTATACAGGCTTTGGCTGGTGAGTTGCTCTCCAATCTGTGCCTCGGTGGACTAGAAGTGATGATGTCAGCAGCGCCAGTGAAGGAATTCTGCCACTGAAATGTTCACAAGGGGAGTCGTAGGCAAGACTGCCTGCCCCCATGGCTCATTTTTTGGTGCTGTGGCCTCCTGGTGCTGGGAACTCAGGCCACACATCCTCATCCTCTTGGACACAGAACCTTTGCTGAGTGCCTTTCCACTGTGCCTGCAGCTTTCAGCCACACATCGAGGAGTGTGTCAAGCAGATGGGTGACATCCTGAGCCAAGTGAAGGGCACGGGCAATGTGCCTGCCAGCGCCTGCAGCAGCGTGGCCCAGGATGCAGACAACGTGCTGCAGCCCATCATGGACCTGCTGGACAGCAAGTGAGGGCAGAGAGAAGAGAGAGGGCGTGGGGAAGGGAGAGAGGAACAGACATGGCAGGTGTGTGCCTGTTGCTGATCCTGTGGGTGGATGTGTCACAATCGACCAACAGCATGAAGGCAAAGTGGGCTGTGTCACAAAATACTCACAAGGGTACATGGAATGTGGATGCTTAAAATATGGTGGACATGTTCTTGGAAGGTGGGTGGATTGGATGTGTGAGTAGAGGATAGATGAGTGGGGGGACAGATGGGTGGGTGGACGGATGAATGGGTAAGTGGATGCTGGCTGGATGGGAGGCTAGGTGGGTGGATGGATGGATGAGTGGATAGATGGGTAGGCTGGTGGATGGATGG